AGAAATGAAATGAAAGACAGCTCTTACCTTGCCTGTTGTAATTTCAGTGTCCAAGCTCATGCGTCCTGCACTGTGGCTACTCTTTATCCCTCTTAGGTTGCATGGAGATCTAGTATTTTGGTCTTGATTAAATGCTGGAGTTATTTTCTTTGTCCTTGTGCTGCTAGGTATGTCTATGTCTGGCACTGCCCTGATGGACCTGGCTTGGAGTGTCCTCTGCTAATCGACACCACAGGAGCTTACTTCCGGAGGGAAGGTGTGGGTGGCAACTACCTTGGAGGCTTAAGCCCTACGGAAGTGAGTTTACCATGATTTTATTGGGAGCTGACTCTTAGGAAGCCACAGCAGGGACACCAGCCCCCCAGAGAGGAAGAGCTCTGGGTGTTTCTGATGTTGCACATGTTAACTCGCATGTAAGGAAGTGTTCCTGTAAGAACACTGCAAGGGGAAATGATTTGTTATGGGAAAGTTCCATTGTGCTAGCACAAGTCTCTTGCAGTAGTGGAACGGGACCATTGGGATACCGACTGTATTGTTTTATCCTTTGATGAGCATCTAAAATTTGATTAAGTCTTTATCGCTCTTTTTCTCTAAAGAGCTCTGGATGACTTGACACATGTGGTCACTTCTCTCCCCCACCATTCTGATGAAGGCTAGGCTTTGAATTAATGGAACAACAACAACAACAACAACAACAACAACAACAACAACAACAACAACAACAAATTTATTTATTTATTTACCCATCTAGGTGGGTTTCCCCAGCTGCTCTGGGCTGCTTCCAGCAGAATATTAAAATACAATGATTCATCAAATATTAAAAGCTTCCCTAAACAGGGTTGCCTTCAGATGTCTTCTAAAAGTCACATAGTTGTTTATTTCTTTGACATCTGATGAGAGGGTGTTCCACAGGGCGGGCACCACTATCAAGAAGGCCCTCTCCCTGGTTCCCTGTAACTTCACTTCTCGCAGTGAGGGAACCGCCAGAAGGCCCTAGGCGCTGGATCTCAGTGTCTGGGCAGAACGATGGGTAAGACAACTGAGTAAGCATTGTGGTTCAACAGGGATTTGAATCCAGATCTGTCTTGGTCAAAGCCCAATGCTATTCACTGCTCCACACTGACAGCTGAAGTCTACCCAAAGCCTACCTGAGCATGCTGTAGTTTGGGACTTGGCTATTGCCTTTGAGTTGCTCTCTATCTACCCTGTGGCTGCACTTTTCTATGGGAGGTTCAAAATGCAAACATGGTTTTCAGCTGCCATGATTGTAATTTTCTGGTGCCCAGAATTCAGCTTCTTGTGCTTTCTTCTTAGGAGGAAGAGCCAGATATCCAGGACCTGGAAGTAGATCATGAGTTCTTCCAGGATAAAGTCTGGCCCAAGCTGGCTCACCGGGTGCCAAACTTTCAATCCTTGAAGGTAATGATTGACTTTCTCAAGGAGGTGGTTAAGGAGTTAACTCCTTAAACTTTATTTTGGGGCCTGGTGCCAGACATATTGCCCACTTATGGTTAATCAGTCAGGAGCACCTTGCAGATTTCACTTCCTCATATCTTGTGTTGCCCTTCTATTTATTTCTGTTTTGAACTAGCTATGATCAACATTTCATCTACCTCATTTGTCTTCAGGCCCCTCGTTGTCTTTGATTTTGACAGTCCAGTGGTACCTTGGAAGTTGAACGGAATCCATTCCGGAAGTCCGTTCGACTTCCAAAACGTTCGGAAACCAAGGTGCGGCTTCCGATTGGCTGCAGGAAGCTCCTGCAGCCAATCAGAAGTTGCGTTGGACATTCAGGTTCCAAAGAACATTCACAAACCGGAACACTCACGGGTTTGCGACATTTGAGAGCCAAAACGTTCGACTCACAAGGCGTTTGGCATCCAAAGTACGACTGTATAAGTTTTGAATTTGGACTGGGTATGTTTGCTTTGGTGAATTTTGTGATGAGTTCAGAACGGACTAGTGGTCCTCTGCTGGTATAATCATTCTCTGCAAGCAATACAACTGTTTCAACTTATTCCTTCTTGTTCCTGTAGGGTGAGTTGATAGTTGTACATTAGCCACAGTGAGTTTGCAATCTGGCTAGCAAGACTTGTCTTCTAGGGTGTTTCGCAGCCATTGACACTATTTCACTTCACATATTAAACTAAACCACTGGGATGGGAAACATTTAGCCCTCCAGATGTTGCTAGATTTCAACTCCCATCATCCCTGACTGTTGGCCATAATGCTATTCGATGTGAACTAGAGTCCAGTAATTTCTGGAGAGTCGCAGATTCCCCACTCCTGGGCTCATGTGTTCCTTCTCTCTCCTCCCAGCTGCAAGAGAGGAGGTGGGGAACTGAGGAGCTCAAGGCTCACAGCTGCTTGTTTCGTGTTTTGCACATCTTGCAAACCACTCTAATAATAAAATAATTTGGTTTTTAACCTTCTGGATTACCCAGGATGATTGTAGGCCATCCATCCATTACATATTTAAAGTAAAAGTCACATTCTTAGGATGTCAAACTCTGCAATTCTTGCAGGTTAGCACCAAATCACAAAGATCTTAGACCTTTCATCTCTATCTTGCTTTTCCCTCTTGAGTTCTAGACATAGCCTTTTATCCCTCTTGTTCAGCTAGGAATAACTGGCTAGGATTCAATATCTAAGTAGTATACTGTATTTTACTGGTGGGTTTAAGAGTGCAGCCTTGTCTGTTTCTGTAGGTCTGTCCCTGAGATCCTCTGTTAGTCCTGCCGTTGACAGTTCAGGGACTGTATCTTGTGACTGAAAGAGCTTTATCTTTATCTCATGACAGGTGAAGAGTTCTTGGGCTGGTTACTATGACTACAACATCTTTGACCAGAGTCCTGTGATTGGTGTGCACCCACTGGTGGAAAACCTCTATTTTGCCACAGGCTTCAGTGGACACGGACTTCAGCAGTCACCAGCTGTGGGCCAAGCCCTAGCTGAGCTCATAATTGATGGGAAATTCAAGGCCATCGACCTAAGCATATTCTCCTTCAACAGGTTCTTCAAAGGGAACAAGGCTGTAGAAAGGAATATCATTTAAGTGCTTTAGAGAGCTGGGTATCTTGATGGCAAGTCCCAGCTCTTTCTGTTCTTCCCTACTTTCTTTCCCAGATTAATGACTACATGCCCATGCAGCACTTCGTGAAGACTGTTCAGATTCCATACTGTTCCTACAAGTGTTGCACTTCACAGTTCCACATCATTTGAGTGGGCCTCAGACAGGATAAACGCCTTGTGTAGGATTGCTGCTTCTCCATTTTCACCCATGTAACAATGGAAAATTCAAGTAATAATAGTAGTAATAATAATAATAATTTTATTATTTATACCCCACCCATCTGGCTGGGTTTCCCCAGCCACTCTGGGCGGCTCCCAACAGAGGACTAAAAACAGAATAGAACGTCAAACATTAAAACTTCCCAAAACAGGAAGTCCAATACAGCTATAGATCAAAGACACTCTAAATCAGGGTGATCCAACTTTTCATACCACGTTGGCCGCAAGAGCCAAGTGGGTGTCTCCATCGTGCCAATTACAGGTTAAGAGCATGAGTCCTTCTGAATGGGGTCCCTCAAGTCTGCTGCTGTTTGTGCAGCTATTCAGGTGGCTCTAGGAAGCCTAAAAGCAATGCGTTGAAGGACTAGCCTTTTGCAACCCCATCTCTGCTTTTTTGCTGGCATCTGGTATTTAGAGGTAAACCACCTCTGAATGTGGAGTTTGTGCTTTTATGTTCTACCTGCCATTAAAAGACTTGTGATCAATTTTTTTTAAAAAAAAACCCCAATATGGGGTTTCTAATAGCCCACTGAGCAAGAGATTGTCATTATGTATAGGGACATGGAGAAGATGCAACAGCACTTTTTTTTACAGCCTTTCAGCTTAACCTACCTCACATGGTGGTTGTAGGGATTAAGTGAGGAAGGGGAGAACCATGCACACCAACCTGAATTCTTTGGAGGGAAAAGTGGGATATAAATGCAGTAAGTGAATGAATAAAATAATAACTCCTAATGGTCATGGCTTGAGCAATTAAGCTTTGTATAATAATTGATGTTTTTATTCCCTTGCATGGGGAAGGTGCCCTTCCTTTCCACCAGGCTGCTGATTAACACAAGTCAGGAACAGTCCTGGATTTATGTAAAGTAGTACAAAGAAGTTGAATTTAGGTTCATTGGGTCCTTGATTCAGAAAGAAAATTTCCAACACTTGGTGAAACCTCATTGTAATTAAGCACTGAATCTTCGTAAGTTAGAAAATGTCTCGGGAGCTGTGCTACTCAAAAAGGAGATGTCCAGTTTGGTCTTGCTCTTCTACTATTGTACTTGCCATGGATTCTCCTGGCTTTTTGCTACATCTAACTTTCTGATGCTGTTTCTTGATTCGTGGAAGAGACAATCGCTTGTTGAACTGACAGCTGGTTATTTTGGATAACCTTAGAACTCAGGTCATCAGAACTATGTTTCGAAGTGGAAGAAATGAACCATTTTCACCCTTATCCCAGAAATCAGGCTGACTTTTTACTGTTTCTATATACCATTAAAAAAACAACTGCAGCAGCATTATTGGGGGTTAAAAGAATGAGTTTTCTTTTTTTACAGTTGGAGGTAGAAAAGGAAAGAAAGTCTGTAAAGTTATTTCAAAGAGTGGAAGGCAGTTTAAAAGGGAGAACCAATTTCTGTTGAATGCATTCCTTTCACTCCTGCTTTTTCATTTCGATTCATTTTTCTGGCAAGTACTGACAGTGAGGCAAAAGACATATGGGGGTGTACTATGGGAAGCAGCCTCTCTCAAACCAGTTCCAACTCTGAAGAACTGTACCTTCAGCCTAATCGGTGCTTGCTAATTTGGGTTGAGAAGGGAAGATTTCATAAAAAGCATAATGGCACCAAGAGTTTAAGGAGGGAAGGAAAAGTTCCTCAGAAACATGCTGTGATGGAAAAATTGATATTCACAAGGTAACGGAGAGAGTTGTGAATACAAGATAATTGTTTTGAGCAATTTTATTTTAGAATATTGCAAGTTACCTTTCCAGCCCCCTAAATGCCAAGTGAATTCATAATTTAAAAATTGTCGCTTGAAGGCAGTCTAGTGTGTCTTCTCAGTAGCTGTTCCTTTCTGTCACTTAATCTGAAAATCCACAAGATATGCCTGTCCTGGGAGAATAGTAGCTTAGGATGCAGGGGGATATGGTATATTAAAATTTACATGCTTTTTTTTATAAAAAAAAACCAAACCCTTCCTGTAGTTCAGTAGCATGAAGTGGTTTGCATTGAAACTGTTGGTAAAACAGAAGAAACAAGCTTTGCCTTTAGTAGCACTTTAGTAGCTTTGTGCTGTTGGAACAAGCCACACTCCCAGCACCTGTCAGCGGAAGCATGCTGTACTCCAGCAAATGAACAATTGGAAACTCACTTTAAGATCATGTGTCGGATGGGCTTGAGTGAATGGTCTTGCAGGCCATATTGAGGCTACCCTGCCAGACCAAATTTGGCCAGAGGTGTCTCCCCCCCCCCCAGCACCATAGAAGATAAGCATGGAAACCCTGTTTGGTTGTGTGACCTCACTTTCTCCCTAGTCATGCTTGCTGTCCAGAGGCAGAGTATGATACGGGTAGTATTTAGCTTAGCCATTCTCCACCACTTCTATCATTTTGAAAAGTTATTATACTGTGGGTATTGTTTTGGTTTTTTTAGTTTTAAGCCATAGTTTTCAACATGAGCCACTTTTAGGTGCTTTTGATCTTCACTTTCTTTGATCGCACTTCAGCTTTCAATAGAGCCTTTGGCCGCTTCTGGTTTGCATCTAAAAGAAAAAAACAATCCAAGTTGATTTGTGTGTAGCACTTTTCAATGTACAGCCTGGCTTTTACTTGATCCTAACCGCCTTCTGCCATAAGTCCCCTGTTCCCCATTTTCCATTTAGATCACTCTGTGTTCATGGCTTGATGCCAACCGCTGAAATCCAGCTTCCCTCAAATGAAGCTCCAAAATTTGACATAGAGCTGCTTGAAGATCAGAATTAAATTACTGTTTCTGTCACTCTGCTGGAATCTAACCTTTATCTAGGGGGGGGGGAGACCATTAATTCTAATACCCACACTCAGCTGCAAGACCTCAGTGTGCCATGCACCAAGGAACTATATGAACCTAAAAGTCAATGAGTTCAAAGCATCCACTCATAGGCTGCTGTTGTGCTTCTGCATGATTAACTGCTCTGGCTTCCAGCTGGCCTCTGTTAGGGCAGATAATTGCACTACATCTCCGGGTTGGACAGGGTTAATTCCATTCTACCCAATGCAAACTAACTGCATGCCCTCTGAGGTTGCCTCACTATTTCTCACTGCTCACAACCTTTCTCCTGAACAGCAATTCCTGCATTAACATGGAGACCTGCCTCCTTGAAAGGTGGCTAATTCCTTTTCACAATTAAAAAAAATCCAGTTCTTTTGGGTATTAGAATTTAGCCTAACATTTGATTGGTGGATGTCACCAGTCTTAGATGTTTGAGAACCACAGTAATTCAAGATTATTATTAATTAAATTTGTTGGTCATTTTATCTTGCCCAAGACAACCCAAAGCAAATTAAAAACAAAGAACCCACATAGATACATTAAAACCAAGGTGTGGGGAGGGGGAAATTAACATTTAAAACATCCCACCCACTCTAAAAGTCCATAGATAAAGGCCTAGGTATAGAGGGAAGTTACTGGCTGGTGCCTAGATACCGTATTTTTCGCACGATTGGACGCACCGGACCATAGGACGCACCTAGTTTTATGGGGGGGAAATAAAGGGAAAAAATTTCCCCTTTATTTCCCCCCCAAAAGCAGGTCAGGGAAACCGAACCAGGTCGAGGAACAGCGGGATAGTGGCGCTGCGCCTCCCTGCTGTCCCCCGAGCTTGTGGGGCTGGCTGATGTCTGCCTAGCGTGCGGGGCGCTCTGCTTCAGGGCGCCCCACCCGCCGGGCGGCAGGCTGCTATCCGCAGCTTGGGGAGCCTTGCGGGGAACTGCTGCAGGGCTCCCCACACTGCGGATGTATGCCTGGCGCGAGGAGCGCTCTGCTTCAGGGCGCCCCACCCGCCGGGCGGCAGGCTGCTATCCGCAGCGTGGGGAGCCTTGCGGGGAACTCCTGCAAGGCTCTCCACACTGCGGATGAGTTCCCGAAGCGCCGGGCGCTCTGCTTTCAGGGCGCCCGACGCTCCGGGAAGCAGGCTGCTATCTGCAGCGTGGGGAGCCCTGTGGAAAACTGCTGCAGGGCTCCGCACGCTGCGGATGTCTGCCCGGCGCGAGGGGCGCTCTGCTTCAGGGCGCCCCTCGCGCCGGGCGGCAGGCTGCTATCCGCAGTATGGGGAGCCTTGCGGGGAACTCCTGCAAGGCTCTCCACTCTGCGGATACGTTCCCGAAGCGCCGGGCGCTCTGCTTTCAGGGCGCCCGACGCTCCGGGAAGCAGGCTGCTATCCGCAGCGTGGGGAGCCCTGTGGGGAACTGCTGCAGGGCTCCGCATGCTGCGGATGTCTGCCCGGCGCGAGGGGCGCTCTGCTTCAGGGCGCCCATCGCGCTGGGCGGCAGGCTGCTATCCACAGCGTGGGGAGCCTTGCGGGGAACTCCTGCAAGGGTCCCCACGCTGAGGATGTGTTCCCGAAGCGCCGGGCGCTCTGCTTTCAGGGTGCCCGACACTCCGGGAAGCAGGCTGCTATCCGCAGCCTAGACACGGCTAGCGGAGCGCTAATCCCGAAGCTTGGGGCGTGCGGAGCTCAGCGCGCCCCAAGCTTCGGGATTAATGCAGCGCTCCGCTAGCCATGGGAGAGCTGGGTCTCCCATGGCTAGCGGATAGCTTCCTGAAGCCTGGAGAGCGAGAGGGGTCGGTGCGCACCGACCCCTCTCACTCTCCAGGCTTCAGCGAAAGCCTGCATTCGCTCCATAGGACGCACACACATTTTCCCTTGCTTTTTAGGAGGGAAAAAGTGCGTCCTATGGTGCGAAAAATACGGTATATAATGATGGTACCAGGCGAGCCTCCCCGGGGAGAGCGTTTCACAAACTGAGCCACAACAAAAATGTCCTGCTCTCGTGTTGCTACCCTCTGGACCTCTCACTGAGGGGGCACACAAACAAGGGCCTCAGATGATGATTGCTAGGTCCAGGTCAGTCAAGTTCAGTTCATATGAGGAGAGGCAGTACTTGAGGTATTGCAGTCCTGAGCCATTGAAGGCTTTATAGGTCAAAACCAGCACTTTGAATTGGGCCTGGAAACCGACTGACAGCCAATGCAGTTGGGCTAAGATTGGTGTTACATGCCCTGGTGAGCAACGTGGCCACTGAATTCTCTGCCAGCTGAGATTGGAAAGATGGGTTGTGACAGGGCACTGTGCTGAGGCCATTACCTGTACAGGTAAAGGTAAAGGGACCCCTGACCGTTAGGTCCAGTCATGGCCGACTCTGGGGTTGTGGTGCTCATCTCGCTTTATTGGCTGAGGGAGCCGGCGTACAGCTTCCGGGTCATGTGGCCAGCATGACTAAGCCGCTTCTGGCCAACCAGAGCAGCGCACGGAAACTTCCCGCCGGAGCGGTACCTATTTATCTACTTTCACTTTGACGTGCTTTCGAACTGCTAGGTTGGCAGTAGTAGGGACCGAGCAACGGGAGCTCACCCCGTTGCAGGGATTTGAACCACCAACCTTCTGATCGGCAAGTCCTAGGCTCTGTGGTTTAACCCACAGCGCCACCCGCGTCCCTCCTGTACAGGTACCCCAAAGCCATAACAGCACTCTTGTTTTGACAAGCTTACCTTTTTTACTTGTTTCATCCTGCCCTTCGGCAGCTGCACTCGGTGATCGCCGTGCATACGCTGCCTTCATCCGTTCAAGATTCTTTTTCCGCACTTCTTCGTGAGCAACGATGGGCTTGGGATAGTCTTCACCAATGATGCAGCCAGCACGCTCCTGCACGCTCCGTGGTGCTTTCCAAGGCTCATAAATGTAGTCACTTGGAAACTTCTTGAGGAAGGGGAGGTACTTCCTGTGTGGTTTGTAATGATAAAAGAGGAAGTCAGGTGTGTACGGGAAAAGGCTCAGGACCTAGGGGCATAATATGACAGCCTGATGCTTTGCAGAGTTAAAATCAATATTCTTAAGTCCAAGTCAGCACTGGAACAGGGTAACAACCACTTGGCTCTCAGAAGTCAGAGAAGTGGTTGAATAATACCTTGAGTAGTTCAGAGAATAGCACCTTGCTAATTTCCATGATTAGAAAAACTGAAATTAGACAAAGTAATGCACTTTTTGCTCTATACAAATAGCCAAATTCTTTTTCTCAATGCAGAATTTGGATTAATTTCTTAAGCATGGCAACATCAAAGAATTCTGCAATTACAGATTGTAGAGACCTAAAAATCAACCAGATTACTCCTGCACTGATACCAGTTGCCTCTTAGGCACAGGCAAAGCTAAAAAGAGATTTTCACCAATCCACCCATTTAGCTTTTCCGCCATCGCATTCATAGACACGGTTACTCTTCCCAGCGGTAAACCTAAACTCTGCCAGATAACTTAATGCTTGTTTTAAGTGCAGCGATGCTATACTATTACACCTACTTTATATACTCTCCATTTTTGTCTGTCTTCTTGCCGAAGGCAATTGGTGAGTAGACACGGAAGAACTGGTGGAAAAAGGCACTTGCAGAAAGCCACTGCCAGTTACCGGCATTCAAGGACCAATCGGCATCAAGCAGCAGTTCTTCAAAGACCTGAAATAGGAGCAGTTTGGAAAACGAACGCCTTTTGGGAACCCCAAAGAAGTCCAGTCCTTTTGTAACGTTACATTTTAACTATGCTCCTGGTTGAATAGGGGACAGAGGGGACAGTAGTCTGACTCTCCTTAAAGGGACGGTGAACCCCTGCCATGTATTCCACAATGCAGAAAGCAGGAAGCCGTAAGACAAGAGGGGGCAAACTTTTTCAGCCTGAGAGCTGCCTACCCTCACAGGCAACGTTCTGGGGCAGGGGGTCAGCAAACTTTTTCAGCAGGGGGCTGGTCCACTCAGACCTTGTGGGGGGCCGGACTATATTTGGGGGGGAATGAATGAATTCCTATGCCCCACAAATAACCCAGATATGCACTTTAAATAAAAGGACACATTCTATTCATGTAAAAACACTGCTTCCCGGACCATCCGTGGGCCAGATTTAGAAGGTAATTGGGCTGGATCCGGCCCCCGGGCCTTAGTTTGCCTACCCATGTTCTGGGGTCTGCATGCCAATATTCGGCAGGCAATGGATAGGACTCCTACCCTTGTGTACATTAGCCTGTTCCTGTCATGCAATAAGTCAGAGGTTTTCCATCTACAGTGGTACCTCAGGTTACATACGCTTCAGAGAGCCAGTGTGGTGTAGTGGTTAAGAGCGGTAGTCCCGTAATCTGGGTAACCGGGTTCGCGTCCCCGCTCCTCCACATGCAGCTGCTGGGTGACCTTGGGCCAGTCACACTTCTTTGAAGTCTCTCAGCCCCACTCACCTCACAGAGTGTTTGTTGTGGGGGAGGAAGGGAAAGGAGATTGTTAGCCGCTTTGAGACTCCTGAAGGGGAGTGAAAGGCGGGATATCAAATCCAAACTCTTCTTCTTCTTCTTCTTCAGGTTACAGACTCCGCTAACCCAGAAATAGTACCTCGGGTTAAGAACTTTGCTTCAGGATGAGAACAGAAACCGTGCTCTGGCGGCAGCAGGAGGCACCATTAGCTAAAGTGGTACCTCTGATTAAGAACGGTTTCAGTTAAGAACAGACCTCCAGAACGAATTAAGTATGTAACCAGAGGTACCACTGTATTCTGTATGCAGAATAAACATACAGGGCAACTTAAGTATGTTGCTTGGGAAGGAGGGTGTTACATTACAAGGCAATTGGGAATCTTGAAAATACAATGGTGTCTTTGTCGTGAGAACTAGGAATGGCACACGGGGAGATCTCCCGGTTTTGAATGGAGTGTGTGCTCAGGGGCAACCTAAAATTCAGCCATTAACTAGCTATGGACCCGCCAATAAATCCAGCTTTCCTCTGGCTACAGAGAACGTTCTGAACTCTGCAGCTTTCATGATGAACTCCCAACCTGCCTTCACCTTTTGCCCTTCCTCCCAGGATATCCAGAGGTCTCCTCGCGTCAGGAAGCAAGCCACTGCATGCCGTGCCAAATGATGGATCCAGCCCTCCGTGCGCAGCTGTGTCATAATGGCATCTATAAAGGGGTAGCCTGTCCGGCCCTGGCAGCAAGAAAGGGAGAGGAAGCTCAGGTTTTCCCTTACCACTATCCTGCTCCTATTTAAGCGGTGCGTGTTATATATAGCAACATTCTTGAAAACACAAATGCCACCCCAAAATATTAAATCATCTATGCAGTCAGGGAATTCTGATCACATGTACCAAATAAAAGGAAATAAACCGTTCTGGATCAACTGTGGAAAAACAGATATTATCAGTTATGCAGCTCAAAGTCATTGGAGCACAGCAAAATATGTTTACAGAATTACAGTAATATCATGTCAGAACTTGGAGAGAAGTTGATGTAAGAAGGAATGAAGAAAGTTGACTTATCTAGAGACAAACCACCAGCATGTCAAGCTTAGTACAGTCTACACCAAGGCTGAGGGCCACATTCCCTTGCAGTAAACCTTCCAAGGGCCTTATACCTGTTTTGGGTGGGGCTCGATACAAAAGTAGGTGGTACAGTAGATTACATTGCTGCCATGCAAAAGTTGGGTTTCTACATGCACACCAAACCACAAACCCACCCACTCACCCATCCAAGTGAAGCATCTTCACACATTCCAGCAAGCCAAAAGCACTTGGGTGGTTGTGGCCTAGGGCAAGAGTTCTGAGGGCCAGACAGAGAAGCCTGAAGGGCCACCTCTGGCTCACAGGCCTGAGGTTCTGTAGCCCTTGTCTGCATTGAGAATTGCAGATGGGAATCTTTCTCAGCCCTATGTGGAACAACCTGAGTTTGACCCTTTTCTTCTGCTGTAGGAAATAGCAACACCACTAGTCCCATTGGTCTACAGTGTTATATTGGGACGCGGGTGGTGCTGTGGTCTAAACCACTGAGCCTCTTGGGCTTGCCGATCAGAAGGTTGGCGGTTTGAATCCTCGCGATGGGGTGAGCTCCCATTGCTCTGTCCCAGCTCCTGCCAACCTAGCAGTTCAAAAGCACGCCAGTGCAAGTAGATAAATAGGTACCACTGCGGTGGCAAGATACACAGCATTTCTGTGTGCTCTGGTTTCCATCACGGTGTCCCATTGCACCAGAAGCAGTTTAGTCATGCTGGCCACATGACCCGGAAAAGCTGTCTGTGGACAAACACTGGCTCCCTTAGTCTGAAAGCGAGATGAGTGCTGCCACCCCATAGTCACCTTTGATTGGACTTAACTGTCCAGGGGTCCTTTACCTTTTACATTTTTTTACAGTGCTGTGAATAGTTAAGTGCATATAAGTGTGGATAATATGTTTGGCCCTGGTGGCAAAGGAGTAGATTGCTTAATCTGCAAATATTTGGGTAGATCGTGAACTTTGCCAAACAAAACATGCCTCACGCCAGGCTTTTGAGGTGCTCCTTGTTGTCATCCCAGTCCACCTGCACACAAACTGGATTGCCCTCCATCTTGTCAAAGTTGGGGATCCCTGCTCCTGCTGTGTAGAAAAACTCCCGCCACAGGAGTTGCCCGTGCAGAGATACCGGTGGGTCAGAGTGTTTCCTCTAGAGAAGCACAGTAGAGAAGGAACAGTAGTTATTCTTTGGATTGTTTTAGAGCAGGGCCCTAGAGCACAGCTCCCACCACCCCTGACCACTATTCATGCTGGCTGGAGATCATGCAAGTTGGTAGTCCAACAACAGCTGGAGGACCACTCTTTCAGAGAGTCAGAAGAGGACACATTTACTGCAGTAAACTTGAGCTACATGATCAGAATCACAGAGTGATGTTCAGTGGTACAATCTAACAAGAGCAGCACTATGTGACTCTGCTGATCATGCAGCTTAGCTGTTAAAAGAAGAGCTTCTAAATGTAGCCGTCTAAGGTCCCACCTGCACAGTAGCCATGCATATGGTCCAATTAAATATTGCAGGTAGCTTTTGCAGTCCACCTTGCCTTGGGTGGCTGATTGCCTCTAGTGTAACAGAAGCCCTAGCCATGTAGATTTGTCACAGCAACTCTGATGGCATCAGTTTACATACTCTTTATATCAGAGTTTTGACAGCCTTGGTCTGGGACAGATAAAAAAAAGTCTTTCTGAGGAAATCTGCAAGCAGCATATACGCAATGGAACCCCCTTATCTAAGTCCATGGCCTACAGATTTCTGAAATGGAACAGAAAGTATCCAGCAGTTGTACCAATGAAAACAGACAGTATTCTGTGATTATATGACAACTGTAGAATTAAAAAAGCTCCTCTTCTTACCCCCTGGTAGATTTCAGTCAGCTTCCACCAGAACATCCGTACAGACAGGCACCCAAATTTGACATAGGGGCTGAGGACCGTAGTGCTAGGAGTCAAAGAATTGGGGGATGTGTCAGGCTTCTTAAAATTGCATACCCATGACTGTAAAGAAAAAGGGAAAAACAATGCATAGAGAGTTTTGAGAAGCTAGATATGTCCAAAGGGCTGCCTTGTGGCTTTCAGGCAAGAGGGCTTTTTGGTGGCGGCCCTGCATTGGGCAGTTCTGTGCCTTGTATGTGCCAGTTGCTTTCTTTACTATATTTTAGGCACCAAAGAGCATCCTGTTCTATTGTCCCTGTAATTTTATTTGCTCATTTTTAAAATGCATACCCCGCTGAGTTTTCAAAGGAACTCAAGGAAGCTTACAAACCAAACATAACAATCCCCATTAAAACAAAAAAAAATTCCTTCCAGTAGCACCTTAAAGACCAACTAAGTTAGTTCTTGGTATGAGCTTTCGTGTGCATGCACACTTCTTCAGATACACACCACATTGAGCCGCATGAAATGGCACCACATTGAGCCGCATGAAATGGAAGTCCATCAACCTGTGTATCTGAAGAAGTGTGCATGCACACGAAAGCTCATACCAAGAACTAACTTAGTTGGTCTTTAAGGTGCTACTGGAAGGAATTTTTTTTGTTTTGACTATGGCAGACCAACACGGCTACCTATCTGTAATCCCCATTAAATTCACAAATGTTGACTGTAGCAAAATCCAAAATAGCCAATAACTGTAGCAAAACCCAAAACACCCAATGAAGCCAATATAGAGCCACAGCAGCCAAAATCAGGCAGCAGTCTGATCACACAGGCAAGTTACAAACAGCCATGCTTTTAACTAGCTGCCTAAGACAACAGCGAATGGGCCCAACATTTCACACTTCGCAATGTGTCCCACAGGGTGGGTGTAACAACCAAAGAGGCCATAGCACTAGCTATCACCACTCATGTTTTCCAGGGTCAATGAATCTGGAGCACAGCTTCAGATAATGTTCAGGCCATGTAGGGAGGAACACATGGAAGGTGGCAGTCTCTGGGGTCCCATCTTCAGATGTGGGGCACATTGGCACGGCTTGGGGGGAAATGGTCTTGCAGGCCAAATCTAGGATTGCCATATTTCAGACAATGAAAATCCTGACAGATCTCTCCCCCCCTCGCAAAGTTGTTGAGGTTTTTTTTAAGTTTTGCCCAAATTTGTTGAGTAAAAAAGAAGTTTTTGAGCTATTGTAAAAGAAAATTGTCCAAAACAATGTTGCCGACATAGGTTGCCATACATCTGAATTTTCACGGACATTTTTTTTTGCGATTTCCGCCCGGACACTGCTTCCCACTTGCAGTATTCCAGGTATGTCTGGGAAATTCTGGACGTATGGCAACCCTAGCCAAATCTGGCCACCAGGCCAGAGATTACCCACCAGTGAAGCAAAGTCTGTTGGGCAAAAGCAACAGACATTTCAGTCACTGTACCGTTCTCTTCATATACAAGTCCAGCCGAGCAATGGCCTCAGATTCTCCTCCTGGATAAAGGTGGGGGCCAGCTGTCTTTGGATCCTGCCCCAGTTCCTCAAGAGAAGGGATACCATACTCCTTATCGTGGTCCTCTGTGACAGGTGTGCTGCATTCTAGGTTAGAACATTGATCCAACAGATTCAAAGCTTGTACAGAACAGTGCATCTGGTTCGTCTGGCTCCCTGTGCCCAAATCTCAATCCCTGATGACTCAATCAATGTAAGAACTTATCTGATTATTCATAACAAGGCCAAGGCCAAGTCAAAGTACAGTGGTACCTTGGGTTAAGAACTTAATTCATTCTGGAGGTCCGTTCTTAACCTGAAACTGTTCTTAACCTGAGGTACCACTTTAGCTAATTGGGCCTCCTGCTGCTGCCATGCGATTTCTGTTCTCCTCCTGAGGTAAAGTTCTTAACCCGAGTTACTATTTCTGGGTTAATAGAGTCTGTAACTGAAGCGTCTGTAACCTGAAGTGTCTGTAACCTGAGGTACCACTGTACCTTTTTTGCTAACTTTTTTGACTGCTGTAAATCACGCAGCTCTTTTCAGCATTTTTTGTAATACGATACCAAAATATTTGTCCATTCATTGTCACTTTGGTTCAGTATTATTTGCCTTCAGCAGCTGCCAGATCTGATTAGCTAAGCACCCTTGTGATGTGCTGTTCACTGGCCTGATCTGCACAATACAGTGAACCAACTATGGCTTACTGGGCCTATGCAAACGTGGATTTCCGGAGAGTTGTTCACAAACCCTTTGCTCCTCTCTGTTCTATTTTACTCCTCATGCTTTGCTCAGCCAAACCTTAGCATGTCATCACAGCATGTGCTGTAAGCCGCCCAGAGTGGCTAGCGAAACCCAGCCAGATGGATGGTGTATAAATAATAAAATTATCATCATCATCATCATCATCATCATCATCCATCATCATCCATGGTTGTTGTTGTTTAGTCGTTTAGTCGTGTCCGACTCTTCGTGACCCCATGGACCAGAGCACGCCAGGCACCTCTGTCCTCCACTACCTCCCGCAACCTCCCGCAGTTTGGTCAAACATCCATGGTTAGGCTTATGGTTAAGCTCTTCCCTTGCTAACCATGAACTGCTGCCAAGAACAAACATAAGCACTGAAAATTGTCAATTGGGTGTGGGTAGGCCACCCATCAGGGACGTGGGTGGTGCTGTGGGTTAAACCACAGAGTCTAGGACTTGCTGATCAGAAGGTCGGTGGTTCGAATCCCCGCGACGGGGTGAGCTCCCTTTGCTTGGTCCCTGCTCCTACCAACCTAGCAGTTCGAAAGCACATCAAAGTGCAAGTAGATAAATAGGTACCGCTGCGGCGGGAAGGTAAATGGCGTTTCTGTGTGCTGCTCTGGTTCGCCAGAAGCAGCTTAGTCATGCTGGCCACATGACCCGGAAGTTGTACGCCGGCTCCCTCGGCCAATAAAGCGAGATGAGCGCCACAACCCCAGAGTCGGTCACGACTGGACCTAATGGTCAGGGGTCCCTTAGGCCACCCATCCCAGGAAGGCAGATTATCTCACAGCATTTCTATCCAAGTCACAGCTCTCTCACACACTCCAAAGGGCCCACAGTACTTGTCAGAATCCAGAAAAACCTATTGCCTGCATCCCGAAGTCCAGAGAGACTCATACTCACCCTTCATGTTTTCCAAGCTAGGAGCTGGAACTGGCCGTTTTGGAGGACCCAGAGAAGCCAAGACCGTCTGCAGCCGAGTGTAAGTCAGAGGTGCCTTGCCGTTGTTCTCAATGATGATTCTGTTGGAAATGATGACAATACATTATCAGGAATGTCCAGCAATGGATATTTTTTTTCCTTTGGAAGTTGCTTGGAGTTCCTTTTTGTAAAAAAATAAAATAAAAATGACTGATATATACTGTTAATAATAATAATCTCTAAAAAACTTTTATCTGGTGGATTCCAGAAATGCATGCAAAATTGTCGTGGCCTTTGCTCTTTGTACCCACCTTTCAGTGTCGTACAAAGTGTGGGACACTTTCTGAACAACTTGGACTCCATGTTCAGCTGCCAACCTCACCACCTCAGCATCACGGCGCCTCGCATAAGGTTCTGTGTCGACTTCAAATGTGAGCAGGGTGACCTTCCACTTCTTAAATAGTTCTGGGAATGCCTCTGCAGGACTGCCACGAACTACAAACAGCCTGAGGAGACACCACAACATTTGAGTGCTCAAAAACCAAGAAAGCGCCAAAGACTAGGTGAGTTTCTGAGGTCAAGACAGAGAGGACTAGGATCTGGGAGGGACAGTATGGCAAACTGACAGAGAGCACTGTGTGCCAGAATTGTAGTTTTTGCACCTGCATTCTAGTAGGCCAATTTGACCCCCCCCCCACGCCTCCCCATTTGGCCTCTCCATAGAAAACCATTCAGGTTTGGGGAAAAGTGCTGTAGAAATGGCCCCTTCAACCTCCCTGGTGTATTTTGAAAACTGGCCCATTCGGTACTTGCCTTGAGTTGAGCTTCTTGAGGCTCTCGTCCAGATCTCTCAGAGATTCAACCAGGAATCTCCAGCGGTTAACGCTGACCCGCATATTCTTCGGGAACCAGGGGTCAAGGATAAAGATAGGGTAGACCTCAGCGCTGTCCTTCATAGCTGCTAGCAAGGCAGGGTTATCATGGAGGCGAAGTGCCTTGCGGAACCAGTGGATCGAAATATTCGTCATTCTGTTGCGTCACCAGCCTGTTTCTCCCCACTTTGTATTAGGAGCAGTGTCCAAGCAGGAAAAAGCTAGGTGGGAACAGGGGAATATTCTTACTTGTTCACAAAGACAGTGGTACACAAGCTATCTCATTTGGCAGAGATGGGGAACCTGTGGTCTTCCAAGTGTTTCTGAGTTACAACTCCAATCATCCCTGACCATTGGCCATGGACCATTGGTGATGCAATATGACCCAACATCTAGAGGGCCACAAGTTCCCTGTCCTGCCACGAAGGTTGACCTCACTCAACCCCCACTAAATAAACATTTAGGGAAACACGTGGATATAACTTGTAGACTTTTCAGATGGGCAAACTCAAAGGCACGTACTCTGAGGCACTTAAAGACAATGCAGTGGTACCTTGGTTCTCAAATGCCTTGGTACTCAAACAACTTGGAACCCAAACACTGCAAACCGGGAAGTAAGTGTTCTGGTTTGCGAACTTTTTTCAGAAGCTGCATGTGCTCTGTTTTGAGTGTTACGCTTCCAATTTGAGTGCCACACTTCCGTTTTGAGTGTTACACTGAGGTCTGTCTGTTTTTGCTATTTATTTTTTGTGACTCTGTTGTTTTGATTGTGCTCTGATTGATTGATTGATTGTGTGACTGTAGTACATTGCTTACTGCTTTCATTTTATGGATCAATGCAGTGGCGTAGCGTGGGGGTGCAGGGGGGGCCAGCCGCACCGGGCGCAACATCTGGGGTTAGGGCAAATCCACGGGTTAGGGGGCGCAAATCCACAGGTTAGGGGGCGCAAATTACTTGCCTTGCCCCGGGTGCTGACAACCCACGCTACGCCGCTGGATCAATGGTCTCGTTAGACAGTAAAATTCCTGTTAAATTGCTGTTTTAGGAGTTGTTTTTAAAAGTCTGGAACGGATTAATCCATTTTGCATTACTTTCTATGGGAAAGCGCACCTTGGTTTTGGAAAGCTTTGGTTTTGGAATGGACTTCTGGAACAGATTAAGTTTGAGAACCAAGGTACCACTATGGTTAAAAGAGTTCTGAAGCGAGGAAGCTCCGGGTTCCCATGCTCCATCTCAAATTCTGCCCTCTATTCGCTGTCTGCACTGATGTCAGTCACGATGCAGGTTAACCCAGATCTCTCTTAATTAGGGTTTCAAACTTGCTACAACCCTGGATTCAAATGAATCCTGGTCAGCACAGGACTCTGGCAAGCATTTGCCCAGGGCGGCTGCCTCACTTTGCCCATGTTCACAATCTGGTTGATCAAAGAGTGGATTTTCCCAACCCTTTCAGCCAATGCTTGTGGATGAATTAGCAGGTTTAATCTGGGAGAAGGGGGAAGGAAAATTGGACATTGTAAACCTGCTTGAAGTAAAGTGAGGAAAAAGATCTTCCACTGTCAAAACCCTGGGACGGGCTGCCGAAGTAAGGCACCGGGAAAGTGAACTGTCAATTTAAACTGGATACAAAGTTGGGGTTTTGACTGAAACAAAGTTATGAGACTTTAATGGAGTTATTTTGTTGAACATCTGAGGATATTGAAACTGTAATAAGAACTTTAACTGTGGACTTTTGGACTCTTTGTTTCTGGACTCTTTGTTCTCTGCCTCATGTTTTTCTGACTTTTCTAATTGGATACAATTAAATGCTCCCTCTAGAAGATTTAAAGAGAATCTGCTACAGTGAGAGGAAAAGAGTGGAATTCTCCACTTGCAAGCCTTTCCTGTGAGAACTGACCTTGAGGATATGAGTGGCCAACCAGAAGAGATAACAACTAGATCAAAAGCAAAACAAACTCAGCAAGCTCAAAAGAAAAGGGGTTCGATGCAAGGCACAACACCAGCTGGACAGGAAAAAGTGGCAACCGCATCTATGGAATCAATGACACAGGCATTGCTCAAAATAAACCAGTCTTTGGAAGCATTGACAAAGCAGTCAGCGGAGAATTCAAAAAAATTGAATGATTTGACAACAAGACTGGACTTGAACACGGCAAGTGTAGCTTCTAATACAGAATCTATAAATAAATTGATTCAAGAAAATTCTGAAACAAGAAAGATTGCTCAAAGTGCAAAAGATACTGCAGATGAGACAAAGAAGGAGCTTGCACCAATTGCAAAAAAGGTGAATGAACATGATGCAACTTTATCTTTATGGGAACTTCAGAGAAAGGAGAAAAATTTGAAATTAAGACTGGTTCCAGAGAGCGAGAAAGACAATCTTGTGGAATTCCTGACAGAGAACATTTTGGAATTTTGGCAGGACGAGTTACAAGAGGAAGAACTTGAAATAACAACGGCCTTCCGGCTGGGCAGAAGGCAAGGTAAGAAGCCCAGGGATTGCCTGATTACATTGAGATCCAAAGAAGAAAGAGACAAAATACTAAATCTACATTACCAGAAGGCTCTTGAAATTCAGAATTGTCAAGTCCAGATCTTCAAAGACATCCCTAAATACATTTTGGAGGTGAGGGCCTTTTATAAAGACTTGGTTTACCTGCTGAAGAAGAACAACATACTCTTCAGGTGGGAGTTCCCACAAGGATTATCCTTTAACTACGCAGGAAGGAAGATCAAAATAAAAACAGTCCAAGATAAAGAACAGTTTTTGGAAAGATATCAGGAGGATCTGCAGAAAGGAGTAGTAGAAACAACAGCAGATAAAGAATCGACAGATATTGCAAATCTCTCATTTGGACTTTTACCACCATCGGAGGAGGAACAAAAACTTGGAGCAGTTGGAGGAATAGGCACATAGTAGTAAAATGTCTCTGCAACTTCTCAGCTGGAATTGTAATGGCCTGAACCTTCCCAGAAAAAGACGCCAAGTTTTCCATATTTTGAAGAGAGAGCAATTAGATTTAATATGCTTACAAGAAACGCATGTGACCAGGATACACAGGAAATTACTTGTAAACAAGAGACTTGGACAAGAATTTACCTCATCAGATAAGGTTAAAAAAAGAGGCGTCGTGATTTATGCAAAAGAAAAATTGGCTCCTAAAATGATATTTAAAGATGAACAAGGAAGATACCTGGCAATAGAAGTACAAGTTCAAGGAGAAAAAATTATGATATTGGGAATATATGCACCAAATGAAGGGAAGGCGGAATTTTTCAAGAAGTTGCATGAGACTTTAATGGACTACCTGGATTTTAAAATTATAATGATGGGAGACATGAATGGCGTTGTCTCTACAAATATGGATAAGGCACAGAGACAAATAATTTCTAAGGATGGAAGACTACCAAAGACTTTTTTCGAAATGACTGAAACACTGGACTTGATTGATATTTGGAGAGTAAGGAACCCTCTGGAGAGAGAGGGAACCTTTTTCTCTGAAGCCAAAATGACATGGACAAGGATTGACCAAATTTGGGTAACTAGTAGCATGGCGCCAAAGATAAAAAAAGTAGAAATCTGCCCAAAGACTTGCTCCGACCATAATGCTGTGAAGATGGAGATGAAACTAACAACAACTGGAACCTTCAGATGGAGGATGAATGACACCCTATTTAGAGATGAAGAGATCTATAAGAAGGCCCAAAAAACACTGAAAGACTATTTTGAGATAAACTTGAGAACTGATGTGGAGAAAAGAATAATTTGGGACGCTAGCAAGGCCGTGATGCGAGGTTTCCTAATACAACAAAATTCCATAAAGAGGAAAAAGCAGAATGAGAGGAAAGAAAAACTTTTGGAAAAGATAAAAGAAGGTGAAAAGAAATTGAGGTCTAAACCAAAGTCTCATGAGATTTTGAGAGAAAGAAAGTACTACCAGACGCAATATATGGAATTGATGAATCAAGAGATAGAATGGAAAATAAAGCAAATGAGACAAAGGACATTTGAATCGGCAGACAAATGTGGGAAACTTCTGGCATGGCAACTGAAAAAGAGACAAAAACTGAACACTGTGACAAGTTTGGAAATGGAGGGAAAAATTATCCACAAACCAAATGAGATAAGCAATTGCTTTCAAAGTTTCTTCAGGAAACTATATGCACAAGGGCCAGTCAACGAGCAGGAAATAGAAGCATTTATTAAGAAGTATGGATTACCAAAGATCTCAGATCAAAGTAAAATGATTCTGAATGAGAAAATAACAGGACAAGAAATAGAGGATGCCATTCAGAATATGCAATTGGGAAAATCTCCAGGACCAGATGGTTTGACTGCCAGATATTATAAGGCACTGAAGGAATGGATAATACAACCATTGAAGGAGGTCTGCAATGAAATTTTGGAAGGGAAAAAGGCACCCGAATCGTGGAAAGAAGCTTTTATTTCACTTATACCGAAAACAGAGACTGAAAAGAACCAGGTTAAAAACTACCGCCCTATATCATTACTTAATGTGGATTACAAAATCTTTGCAGACATTTTAGCAAAAAGATTGAAGAGAGTGTTGGTAGAGGAGATTCACAAGGACCAAACAGGCTTTCTCCCAGGGAGACATATGTCAGACAATGTGAGGAACATTATAGACATTTTGGAGTTGTTGGAAGTGAACATTAATAGAAAGGCGGTGTTAATCTTTGTGGATGCGGAGAAAGCCTTTGATAACATTTGTTGGACCTTTATGAAGAAGAATCTTCAAGGGATGGGGGTAGGCCAAGGTTTTGAAAATGGTATAGGTGCTATATACTCTAAGCAAAAAGCAAAGTTGATTGTGAACAATGTGGTTACGGAAGAAATACCTATAGAAAAAGGTACACGACAGGGATGCCCAATATCCCCTTTACTCTTTATAACAGTCCTGGAGGTTTTGTTAAACATGATTAGAGGGGACCAATTGGTTAAGGGAGTTCAGGTCGGAGCCAGAAATTACAAACTAAGGGCATTTGCAGATGACTTAGTACTGACTTTGCAACAGCCAGATACTAGTACTAAAAGAGTATTAGAACTAATCGAGATATTTGGTCAAGAAGCAGGATTTAAACTGAACAAGCAAAAAACTAAAGTGTTGGAGAAAAATCTAACAATGGCAGAAAAAGAGAAGTTTCAGAGTGAAACAGGTTTAGTAATAACAAAAAAGGTGAAGTACCTGGGTGTGAACTTGACCTCTAAAAATGTGAATTTATTTAAAGACAATTATGACAAATGTTGGACAGAGGTGAAGAAAGATCTAGAAATATGGTCAAGGTTGAGACTTTCCTTGTTAGGCCGAATTGCTGTCATTAAGATGAATGTATTGCCTAGAATGTTTTTTTTATTCCAGACACTCCAGATCTTGGACAAGATGGACTGTTTCAAGAGGTGGCAAAAAGACATATCAAAATTTGTCTGGCAGGGCAAAAAGCCCAGAATAAACTTTAAGATATTAACTGATGCAAAAGACAGAGGGGGGTTTGCCCTGCCGGACCTGAGACTTTATTATGAATCGGCAGCGTTTTGCTGGTTGAAACAATGGCTGCTTCTTGAGAACACAGACATTTTGGATCTGGAAGGGTATGACAATAGATTTGGTTGGCATGCATATATATGGTATGACAAGGTAAAACTGCATAAAGGCTTTAAAAACCATATTGTTAGGAAAGCATTGTACAATGTGTGGATAAGATATAAGGATCTACTGGAAAGTAAAACTCCCAGGTGGCTATCACCAATGGAGGCTAAAGAGATAAAAAAACTTAATATGGAGTCCAAATGGCCAAAATATTGTGAAATTTTAGAACAAGACTAGACTCCAGTGGGGTTCTCCCCCCCCCAAAAAAAATAAGACAGTGCAATATGCCCACCCAGAGGTATGTGTCAATAGAGTTCAATGGGGTTTGCTCCCAGGTGGATGGGTGTAGAATTACTGCCTTAAAAATGCACGTGCACATATTTTGCACTACTTTGAAATGGGCGAATGTTTTAAATGGAGAAATACAAGAGCTCCAACTTTAAATGAAGTATAAATTTAAAGCAATGCTGCATGCGGACAATACTTTGCATTGCAAATTAATTGATATGGCTATATTTGAGCTATTTTGAGTAATATTGGAATACTAATAAATGTTTATTTTAAAAAATACTTCTGCATTGCAGATTCAGGGAGGAAGCCAGTTGAAAACAATCCTTAGGACACTGAAAAAATAAATAGCAGTATATGCATCGTACACAGTAGCCTCGAAGCTTCAGGTTGTGTGCAGCTGGATTCACAGTTGTAGAGCGCAAATTAATTAACCAAATCTCAATATTCCAGCAAGCGCCTCTACTGCCACCAGCCTACGGGGAGGCAGTTGTGCATGATCCAGCATGTGCAGGCTCTTGTTTTTGGCAAACCAGTGGCAGCCCACATTCAGCATGCAAAACCCTCCTTCAGTCTTATGCAAGCATTAACAAAGCAATGCACGCAGCAATGTCAAATGGATCTGCTGCTTACACAACACCAACAGCAATTGTGTGTCTAAATCATCTATCCTCCACAAGTTCAAAATCTTGTTTTACACTTGACCCTTATGCAACACACTCAGAGCTATTCTACACAGGATACTTACGAGGATGTAAAGCCTTTGTCACTGCCCTGGTTAGGTCAAGGAAGGGCCATTGCTCAGTGGTTAAAGCATCGACCTCACAGGCAGAAGGTCCCAGGTTCAATCCTGGGCATCTCCAGGTAAGGATGGGAGAAAACCCATCTTGAAATCCTGGAGAGCAGCTGCCAGTCCCTGCAAACAGTACTGAGCTAGATGGACCAATGTCAATAAGGCAGCTTCCTAGGTCAATATTATCCACAACGACTAGCAGCAAATATCCAGGGCTTTAGACAGAAGTCTTGGAATCTGGACAGGCAAAGCAATTGCTTTACCCCAGAGCTAAGACTCCCTTTCCTTGTACAACTTCAGACTGTAAGTGTGCGGAGAAATCATTTTAAAATATATTTCTACACATTTAATGGGACGCGGGTGGCGCTATGGTCTAAACCACAGAGCCTAGGGCTTGCCGATCAGAAGGTCAGTGGTTCGAATCCCCGCAACGGGGTGAGCTCCCGTCGCTCAGTCCCTGCTCCTGCCAACCTAGCAGTTCGAAAGCACATCAAAGTGCAAGTAGATGAATAGGTACCACTCCGGCGAGAAGGTAAACGGCGTTTCCGTGTGCTGCTCTGGTTCGCCAGAAGCGGTTTAGTCATGCTGGCCACATGACCTGGAAGCCGTACGCCGGCTCCCTCGGCCAATAAAGCGAGATGAGCGCCGCAACCCCAGAGTCGGCCACGACTGGACCTAATGGTCAGGGGTCCCTTTACCTTTACACATTTAATGATAAATTCCTGCAAGACAAAAGCATCAGGGAAAGAGCTGAGCTAGAAACTTTCTTGCTGATGTGCTAGTTTTCTAGTTGAGCTGAGAGGCTTTTTTCCCCCCCTTAAGAAAGGTTTTGCTGTTGACATCCCTCCGTCTGGGGAGACAATGGAGGAGTGTGCCTTTCCCGGTGAAGTCAAACTGCTGGAAGATTGCAGCGTCTGCTGTGGGGAACAGCTGCTAAAAGGGGCATTCTCCATCGGCAGTCTGAAACAGTACAGCACTCAGCTAGCTTATTCCGCAACTGCAACACGTGTCCAACCAACCTCAGGCTGCCAGCCTATCTCCACTTACCTGGGAGTAAGACCTATGGAACTCAGTAGGATTCAGAGCTGAGTAGGCATGCAGGGTTAGTCCACCTTGATTCTTCGAGGCAGAGGAGAAAAATCATATAAAGAGCTATTTATAACTTCTTTCTCCACTCTCTGCGACCCCACTTCGGCTCTTGCAAACCGGTTATACTTGCGTAACTTAGTGATGCCCAACCTCACAGCATCCGAGAAGTTACACAACTGCCCGTTGTCACTCTGGGGCGTGACTTCCTGCTACTGCAGCCTCGCCCCACCCGCATACTCGATCACTCTGGATTGCTTTAAATAAACGGAGCTCCCGCCCGTTACTCGAGAGTCATCGGGCATGAGTAGTATTCACACGTGCCGTGCAAATCGGGGTTTTGCCCCAGTCCTAGGCAGAGTGACGTGAGTACGTCCCGCTGAGTTCAATGGAGCCTTAGTTCTCGGTAAGCGTGCTCTGGATCGCAGCCTTGGCAGCTTGATCTTAAATATTTCTTTACTAGGAAATATACCACTTCATAGACCCAACAGGTTTTTTGTACTTCTGAATCTCCCCTAAAGACTTGCAGCCGCAACGTCTCGTGTGAAAGAGCCCGTGTCTTTTGAATGCAATGAAGGGGGGTTGTGGGGGGAGTTGTAATGACACCCTGGAATAGAATTTACTCTTTTTCCATTTGCTAGACAAAATAGGATTGCCATTTCTTTTCACCGCTGCAGACACATCGGAGCCGGTCCAATTGGTCTCATTGGCACAAACTTCTGATTAAAGATGCCTAGCAACCGGTTGCACTTAACCACCGAATAAGGGGGTGGAGGGATGCCAGAGGAGCTTTAAAATGCTGCCCCCATAAAGAAGGCGGGGTGAAAGGCGATTGAAATGCATCGCTTTTCAGTTTTGTTTTGTTCTTTCCCCTCTGGATTTTTTCCTTAAAAAATTTGGACCATATATATATCGCCCCGGAACTTCCAAGAATAGCAAGTAGCATTGGTGTAATCCTATACCTGCTAACTCAGAAGTAAGGCTGCAATCCTAAAACCATTTGCTGGGGAGAAAACTACACTGCAATTCTATAGGACTTACTTTTGAGTAGGCATTATTAGCCTTGCCCGCCAAGTCACTGTGTTCAGAGGGGCCGCCTACTTCCAGGAAAATGGGTATACAGAATCGCAACCTTAAGTCCAGCCTCCTGGGCGTGTTTTCTCGGAAGGAGTTTAACGGAGTTTACTTCCATGTAGGCGTGCGTCTGAGCGCTCCTCTAAGCAGCCTTACGGTTATTTCTTTTTCTTTTGGGCTGCCCGCAGAAAAGCACCTTTGGAAGTGAGGTGCCGCCGGGGAGCGATCCAGCAAAGGCGCTTTCGAGTCATCTGAAGAACTTGCAAAGCGCCACAAGATCCTCCTTGCACAAAAAAACCCAAAACAAAGCAGCGTCAGGGGGCACCCGAGAGGTGAAGAGGGAAGTAGCCCCGGCAAGTTCCTCCGGAGGCAGCAGGGACCGATCGATCGCGCCCACTTCGGAGGGGATCTGCTTCGCCCGGGCTCCTCGATCGCCAGAAGGAAAGGGAACCGGGCCGAATTGGGACCGTCGCGGCAGGATTTTACGCAGCTTCGCTGTGGCCCGAGCTCACTTGCAGAAGGAAAGGTTGGTTAATCCGGCTAGCTGGGATGCTGTGCGCCCTTGCTTGGGAGCATAGGAGCAAACTCCATGGGGCAGAGGGGTCTTCGCCCCCCCAAAAATAAAATGTTTGAGGGCCCCTCTCAAGTTCATTGGCATTCAAATAGTATCCGTGCACCACGTCGATTTATGCAGGGTAGGGCTTGCTTAGCGCCCCCCCCCCAATATTTTATTCAAGTTGGCACCCCTGTTTGCGAGTAAGCCCCATCGAATTTTAGACTGCCCCTTTTTCCCGTAGTAAACTTGCATAGGGCTCCGGCTGTGGGTCCGTCCTTCCCTTCTCTCTTTCTGATCGCAGTTTCTCGTCGATGCCTCCGGTTTGAGCAGCGGTTTGAACAGCTACTTCCTAAATAAAGTTGCAAAATACAGGAGGAAGCATTTGCAAGCGCTGCCTTCCGCGCCCAGGCGGGCGAGGAGGACTCCAAACCAATTTTGGCCTCTCTTCCTGGCTTGTAGTTTTTTAATTCTTTGTGCCGCGATCGTAGACCGCGCCGTTTAAATGCAGTGGTTTGTAACCAGCGAAGTTCTGCTCAAACTCGACTCGCTCAGAGCAGACCCACTGAAATCAATGCACCGATATTAGTCGTGTGCATTTACTTAAACGGGTCCACGGTGGGGTGGGGAGAGAAGCCTGTTCTCTTTTTAGACGGAACAGAAGTAGTTCAGGGTTGAGATAGGATGGTGACACAAGGCAGCCAGATGGGGGTAAATCTGGTTGCAGCACTTGCTTTTCCCCCATACTGTATAGCAAAACTACTGTTGACTTTAATAATAAAATAACGGATTGCACCAGTTTGGGTACACAGTTCTAAAACTGCACTGCTCTTAAACCCCCCCTTCTAATGCATGCCTTGGAATGCAAACTGATGCACTTCGATGTTAGGTAAGAGTTTTTAAACTTTTCCTTGGAAGCAGATTTATAACAGTCATAAAATTAAAATCTTACAACATTGCAATTCTCTGCATCTTTGCCTAAAAGTAGGTCTACCAAGGCTGCATACACACCTTGCATTTAAAACACATTATCATTAATTAATTAATTAATTCAATCAATCTGTAATAAAGGTAAAGGGACCCCTGACCATTAGGTCCAGTCGCGGACGACTCTGGGGTTGCAGCGCTCATCTCGCTTTATTGGCCGAGGGAGCCGGCGTACAGCTTCCGGGTCATGTGGCCAGCATGACTTTATTGGCTCATCTCGCTTTATTGGCCGAGGGAGCCGGCGTATAGCTTCCAGGTCATGTGGCCAGCATGACAAAGCTGCTTCTGGCGAACCAGAGCAGCGCATGGAAACGGCGTTTACCTTCCTGCCAGAGCGGTACCTATTTATCTACTTGCACTTTGACGTGCTTTCGAACTGCTAGGTTGGCAGGAGCAGGGACCGAGCAACGGGAGCTCACCCCGTCACAGGGATTCAAACCACCAACCTTCTGATCGGCAAGTCCTAGGCTCTGTGGTTTAACCCACAGCGCCACCCGCATCCCAACCGATTCAATCTGTATGAATTACATATAAATCACATACATAAATTACATACATGACTTCTATGCTGGGAACTGTAGTTTGCTTCGGGTGCTGGAAATTGTATCTTTCTGGGGGTAAACTACATTTCCCATCATTCTTTGGGGAAGCCAGGTGTTTTAAATGTATGATGTGTTTGCCACCTGTGAAGCCTACACCCAAGTAAATCCATGTCCAGGGCAGCTGTGTACCAGCTCCATCTGGTACGCAGGCTGAGACCCTATCTGCCTGCAGACTGTCTCACCAGAGTGGTGCATGCTCTGGTTATCTCCCGCTTGGACTACTGCAATGCGCTCTACGTGGGGCTACCTTTGAAGGTGACCCGGAAACTACAACTAATCCAGAACGCAGCAGCCAGACTGGTCACTGGGAGCGGCCGCCGAGACCATATAACACCAGTCTTGAAAGACCTACATTGGCTCCCAGTATGTTTCTGAGCACAATTCAAAGTGTTGGTGCTGACCTTTAAAGCCCTAAACGGCCTCGGTCCAGTATACCTGAAGGAGCGTCTCCACGCCCATCGTTCTACCCGGACACTGAGGTCCAGCACCGAGGGCCTTCTGGCGGTTCCCTCATTGCGAGAAGCCAAGTTACAGGGAACCAGGCAGAGGGCCTTCTCGGTAGTGGCGCCCGCCCTGTGGAACGCCCTCCCACCAGATGTCAAAGAGAACAGCAACTACCAGACTTTTAGAAGACATCTGAAGGCAGCCCTGTTTAGGGAAGCTTTTAATGTTTGATGTATCACAGTATTTTAATATTCTTTTGGAAGCCGCCCAGAGTGGCTGGGGAAGCCCAGCCAGATGGGCGGGGTATAAATAATAAATTATTATTATTATTATTAAAAAGTAAGTCTGCTGCATTCAGACTCTGGGCCCCCATCATGTTGCCCCCAGATACCCCTCCCACATTGTTTCTTCCCTGGCCCTCTTTTTAAAATGCTGGGGTGTCCAGCATGCTTTCCTTCTGTGTTTTATTAGTTTGAGAGCGTGCTGAGGAGCATGTTTCTGAGCATCATCAATTTTTCTCCTGTGAAATGTGTGGTTTTTTTGGTGGTGTCCAAAAAGGTTGCTCAGATTTTCAAATGCGCCCTTTGATCCAGAAAGATCCCCCCAATTAGGTTAGAGTTTAACTGGGTGCTGCCTGGACCAGGCTTGACAGATGTGTGGGACCACCCACTTGAGGTTATAATGTCAGGCGAACCTGTTTTTGCCCACAAAGTTCTGTCAATCAAAGCAAGGTGCCCAGAGTTCTGCAAGCCTTGACAATCAACTGGTCGTTATGTTGAAGTTTGCAAGAGCTGGCAGTCAGCTGATTGTCACCCTTTCCATAGTCCTGTGCCTTGGAGGTGGTGCTGATCAGCTGATTGGTGGTGCTTGCAAACCTTCTTTGGCTCAGCCATGTCTTTACCTGCCCACACCTGCCATCCTACGGCACACCTCTTCCCAAATCAGCAATGGGAGCATGCTGGATGCTGAGTAAGCAGGAATGTGGGCATGTAGGATTTATTGAGTGCATTTGTTTGTGAGTTGTTAAGATTTTGGTTTATGATATGTATTTTTTAAATACCAAGCTGCTGTGCTAGTTCAGAGCGGTTGGGGCTTATAATTTGCCTTTCCCCCCTGAACCTTTAGACTTTATTGCAGTACACTCTTCTCTGCAACTGGAAGTCTAAAACAGAAAATTGGGAATTGGCACACGCTCCATATGTATGTACTAAAAATGACCTGACAGCAAATGATAACCCATAGGTTGTATACTGCCCACCCCTATTGCAGGCTGCTTGTTTTTGTGTAGGTCAGGGGGCAAGCCTGTTGAGGACTGCATTCCTTTGGGTGGGGTATAACCCGAGGGAGCCATGTGGTGGCAGTGGGCAGACCAAAGACAACTGTGGGTGGGGCCAGATCTTTTTCTCCCTGCCCACACTTTTCTCCCTGCCCAGTGAATTGGATGGATTAGCTCATTTGTCTTGCCAGCATTCAGGTCTGAACTAATTGCTTCCAGGGGTCTTTTGAAACTGGGCCAAGACAGCCCTAAGGCCACAGGTTGCTCATCCCTGATGTAGGAATTGGCTGAAGTAGCTGGTTTGGTGGGGTGGGAGGTTTAGACAACAATAAAGTTCTGCTTTGAATAGTGATGGGGGAAAATTTGATTCAGGTCACATTTCAAGGCAAACCCACCTAATTCTCACTTTCTGAAACAGGGCGCAGATCAAAACCCAGGCACCCTTCAAAATTCACACTTCCTTGAATTTCAGAGTGCAGTTCTGAAACCCATGCATATAAAAACTCATATACCGAGATCAATTGCCTATCAAAGGGCATATAATAGTGAAAATAGCATACAAAAATTCATAACTTTTGATTAAAGCATGGACAGAAATAATGATATTTTTTGTGCATTTTTATTTTATTTTATTGCAGATCAATGTGGAAACGGAATGGAACAGCTTTGTGAATGAACACACGCAAAACGGCTGCGAGCCAGAACTGATCAGTCCGTCCCTAGAAGACAGTCTTGCTACTGGGATGGCAGGTCAGTATGTCAAACTCACTTTGTGTGTACAGTGGTGCCCCGCAAGACGAATGCCTCGCAAGACGAAAAACTCGCTAGACGAAAGGGTTTTCCGTTTTTTGAGTCGTTCCGCAAGACGAATTTCCCTATGGGCTTGCTTCGCAAGACGAAACGTCTTGCGAGTTCTTGCGAGTTTGTTTCCTTTTTCTTAAAGCTGCTAAGCCGGTAATAGCCGCTAAGCCGGTAATAGCCGCTAAGCCGGTAATAGCCGCTAAGCCGCTAATAGCTGTGCTTCGCAAGACGAAAAAACCGCAAGACGAAGAGACTCGCGGAATGGATTAATTTCGTCTTGCGAGGCACCACTGTACAGTGGTACCTCGGTTTATGAACTTAATCCGTTCCGGAAGTCCGTTCTTAAACCAAAACCATTCTTAAACCGAGGCGCGCTTTCCCTAATGAGGCCTACTACCGCCGGTGCCCTTCCACCATTAGGATTCCTTTCTTCAACTGAGGTAAAGTTCTTAAACCAAGACACTACTTCCGGTTTTGCGGAGTTTGTAGACCAAATCGTTCTTAAACCGGACTGTTCTTAAACCGAGGTACCACTGTATCTGTGTTTATTTTATATCTCTGTGCGTACACAAACTAAGATCCACCTATTCATACAATGTAACATAGTGTACAACGATATATACAATAAAATGTAAAATACCATAAAGAAAGTGCAAAATGATCATTGAAATGACCGGTTGATCAAAAAATTAAAACCATTACATGGATCTGTCTTGGTTAGATATCTCTCTGCTGCCCGCTGTTCACTTTAGCCTAATTCTCAATTGGTGACTTTACAGGCTGGTTCAAGGCGCTTCTGCAGAAGTCCAGAAACACTTCCAACTCCTCAAAATGCCACTTGAACAATATTTCTAAACATTCGCCTTCACCTTCTCCGTTGAGTAGTTCCAGCACCCCAACAAGCAACTCGACAGCCAGCCCCAAACAGGTGCCCTCTGCCTCCCAGGTAAGCGTGAGCATCTCAGGCAGCGCCCGCTGGAACAAGTTGTATGATGTGTGCATCTGCCACAACGAGGGCGACCTTGGGTTTGTGGAGGAACTGGTCTCCTATTTGGAGAGCCAGCCAGAACGCTTCCGTTGCTTCCTTCAGCCCCGGGACTCTGCCCCGGGGGGTGCCATCGTCACGGAGCTGTGCGACGCCGTCCAGAACAGCCACTGCTGGGTGCTGCTCATCACGCCCAACTTCCTCAAGGACCCTTGGTGTCGTTACCAAATGCACCAGGCTTTGACGGAGGCGCCCATGGCGAATGGGCGCACCATACCGGTGCTGAAGGACATGGACCGCAAAGACTATCCCCGGGAGCTGCGATGCCTCTACTACATCAGCGTGATGCTCCAAGAGACCAGCTTCAGGCAAATCAGAGAGACGGTGCTGCGCTGTAAGTAAGAGAGGGCTTCTTAGCAGCTTACCCATTTCTGTGGGTGCATGTCAGGGACCGTGCTGAGAAGGGTTTCACTGAGGAAGACCGGTGGGAGCCTCCTCCTGCTCCTGATCAGGATCCTGAATCTTCCCAGGAGCAGGAGGACAGTATAGATTTGGAACAGTGGTTTGCAGAGGGGCATAGTTCAGAAGGCAGAAGCTGGGAAATACTGGACGGGGAACAGCTAGGAGAAGAAAGACTGGGAGAGAGAGAGAGTTAACAGATTCATTGTCTCTGGAAAGCATTCATCCGCTCTCTCCAAGGTAAAAAAGAGCTGAGAAAGTGGCAGAACAGAAAGCACAGAGGGTACAAGCTCAGGTGACAAGACGTAGGAGTGACGTGGATGATAAGGGGGTGGAATTCTTAGTTGGGAGCACCGCCATTCCTAGGAGATGGGTTCTTTGTTCTCTCACTGTGATCATTAAAGTTTCTAACTGGTAAGAAGACTCATTTTCCTTTGTTCTGCTTATCTACTGCCACAGTGGGGAGGAAGCTGATTCCCTGAAGCCTGACAGCGCATCGGTTATACTCCACAAATTCACAACCACAGTTTCTTCGTCCTCGCTTGTCTGACAGTCCTATTCTCTCCCCGTCCCCCTCCTCTCTGTCATAACTGCCTCAGCTGCCCCTTCTGATCGGCAAGTCCTAGGCTCAGTAGGTTAGACCACAGCGCCACCCGTGTCCCACCTTGGTTTAAGACAACTTCCTATGTACAGCCCTGCAAGCCAATAGATGCAACTGCTTGTGGCAAAATGTTAGAAAGCAATGCCTGGTTAGTGGGTGCTAACCATGGAGTTTTTATGAATGGGTGAAGGTTGTCTGAGGTTTCATAATTGTCTGGTTCAAAGCTCCTAACAGCTTTTGTCTCTCTCTCAGATCTTCAGGAGCTCTGTCAGAACACAAGCAGAAGAGGCGAACTGGACATCCTTCAACAGAATAAAGGCTGAGCCAAAGGAACATCTTGTTGTGCATCTGGGATTGGTGAAGAAGTCTTCGTGGTGTTCTCTCTCTCTAGCGGACCTGGCCTGTCACACCATTTGAAGGGCAGATCCCATCCTAGCTTGCAGTTCACAGTCCGGAAAGAGCACAAACTGGTTATCAGTCTGGTGTGCTTTATGCTCTGATAGTCCTAACTGGAATGATTGTGTTAGTTCTGCCCACCACAATCATAGGGACACTAATATTAACACTTGGGCCGTGCTGGAAAATATTGAAGTGTGAGCTGCTCCAGTTCACAGTGCCAGCCTGCCAGCCCTGCCCTCCATGCCATTCCCTCTCAGCCCCCAATTTCTCACCCTTTGCCACAACAGTAATTTTGTGCCCATTGTAGATGCCAGGTTCTCATTGTGCCCAATTTAGCTTCTCTCGCCCCCAAAAACAAACACTTGAGTTTCTTCTATTTTTAAGTTTGGGTCTCCCTCAATGAAGGATTTTTGCCCCAGATTCCTCCAGAAAGCTTGTGACTAGCCAGAAATTTGAAAGAAGTCGTATCTGGCACAAGGTTTCATCATAGGCCAGACTGCTAAACTGTATCTGAAATTTGGACATTATCTGTCATGCTTGGGTTGAAGGCACATTCATTTTTTTTCACTTGACTTTTACCATATACACCAGGGCAGTCCAACACGTGTACTGAGGGCCACACATGGCCCTCAAAGCCCTTTTTGGCAGCCTTTGGCAACATTTGAACCCCCTCCCCTCTCGTTTCCTTCCCAAAGGAGGGCGTGAGGGCTCTGATAGGGTCCTAGCATCTTCCTGCCTCCTTCCCAAAGGCTAGTTAGCACACACTCCCAGCTTTGGAAAGGAGGCAGGAGGGGTCTAGGACCCTGTCAGAGCCTTGCACCTCCTTTCCAAAGCCCAGCGCATTGGAAAGGCAGTTTGAGGGCTGGGAGAGGTGTCAAATGTTGGCCTTGCTCCATTCACCCTCCTTGCACTGTGCAACAAGGCAGTGTGTGACCTGCCGGTTCCATGTCGAATTACCCTTGCAGCCCAGTTGGTATGAAAGCTTGGACCACCCTGATGTAGACCAAGACCAAATGACCTTGTTATGCTGCTGTTCAAGATTGTATAGGTGGGGAAACTTTTGCAGCTCAAAGGCCACATTCCCTTCTAGGCAGCCTTCTGAAGGCCATGTGTTAACGATGGGCAGGGCCAGAGAAAAAGAAGAGGAGGAGTTTCGATTTGATATCCCGCTTTATCACTACCCAAAGGAGTCTCAAAGCGGCTAACATTCTCCTTTCCCTTCCTCCCCCACAACAAACACTCTGAGGTGAGTGGGGCTGAGAGACTTCAAAGAAGCGTGACTGGCCCAAGGTCACCCAGCAGCTGCATGTGGAGGAGCAGAGACGCGAACCCGGTTCCCCAGATTACGAGACTACCGCTCTTAACCACTACACCACACTGGAAAAAGTGGAAGGAGCAGTAAACGAAAATGTCACCTTTAAGCTAGTTTCTACAGACTCTCCCACACACCCCTCTCTATCCTCCATCCAGGCAATAAAAGGGGCATTATCAGAGCTCAAGGACACAGTTGAGCCAAGCAAAAACATGGGCTGTGAGGGAGAGGCAGTGAGGGGTGTGGCCTGGAGCAAATTCTAGGGCCAGACAGAGGCGAGGGCCACATTGGGGACACCCAGGCCTGACATTCCCCACCCCTGACATGTCTATTTTGACCTCTCCTTCAATCCACCACATGCAAATCTGGATGAAAATAAGCTGTGTTCTGCATTTCTTCCCTACCACATGACCTGGATGAATCAGCCAGTGAGTGGATAGAGTGGGAAGAAAGTTAATACTCCATCTAATACTTAACAATTTTCTTGTCCGCTACAAATTTTAGCCGAGGAAGTGGGGACCCTGTGGTCTTCCAGATGGTGTTGGACCTCTCATCAGCCTGCATGGCTAGTGGCCAAGGATGACAAAGACTGTTGTCTAGCACCAGAAGTTCTCCATCCCTGTTACAGCCTATGGAATAGGTGTCTCAATGTATTACTTGGATGTTCAGTTTGTTTTGCAGGCCACTTTGCCAAGAAGCAGAGATAAGGGCAGACTTTTTGCTGTCGATGCCTATTTTTGTAATGTTATAGAATGTGATTTTTGTGTGTTTAAGTCAAAACTTAATTCATTCACTTAACTTTTCTCTAAGTAAATGTATTTGGAGTAGACCATTCAGTGTCATCGTCTGATGTTCTGGACAGCACGGCTCGTTAACATGATTTTGCTTAGCAACCATTATGAAACCATAGCAGTTTTGGTTCCTTTTTGCTTCTCTGAGTTGAAGGCCGTTGTGTAACACAGAGCACTGAGTAATAGCGAAAGCAACAGTAGAAACCTCATCTTTTGACAAGGCAAATCAAAGTCTTTAAGCAAACCAAAACTTCAGAGTGTAGTTCTGGTGATTCTCCCACAGAGCTTCCGACTGGCTAAAAAACAGCCCAGACTTCCCTCTTATAACTAAGGAACCTTGTTGGAATGTCACATGATTTTAGGCACCAAACTGTTCAGATCCAGCAGTTATTTCAAACCTCCTCCACCCACCCTGTTCTAATTCATCACTGGTCCAGTTAAACCCTTGGAGCAAATATATATGACAGACACAACCCAACACACCAACCCTGTAGGCTTGTGCACACATTATACTGAATGCAGGTACAAGCTCTTCTGTACATGTGTATAATTGTTTGTGCAAAAAAACACAGCTTTCTTGATTTGTACAGATCAGCAGTGTACACAGACTGTAAACTTGTTGCATGTTACATGTAAATAATGATGAACAGATCAGCTAATATGTCCACAGATTGTGCTTTGAGTGTATTGTGACTTGGAACTGATTTCAGTTTACTTGTCATTGGCACTTTTATTGAATTGGGTGCCACTCTACCTGCCTACTATTGGTAAACAGGATGTTCGCAGTGGAGATAGAGGGATAAAATCCCCCTTCTATTTACCTATACTAATTCATGGCCAATGGGATCCCTAGAGAGGACAGTTCTACATGATGCACTAGAAGTTCTGGCTGTGTGCAACTCTAAAAAGCTGGCACGTAGGCTGCAACCCACAATATACTACTTATTATTTATTACTCGCTCTTCACCCTAAGGTGGGCTTACCATTTATTTATTTCAGGGTGGTGTTCCAGGTTGTGAAGAAAATTCAGACAACATAAATGCTGTATCGTTGAAATACTAGGGAGTAAGTCCTGTTGGACACAATACTTGCTTTCATGTAAACATTCATAGGGTTGTACTGTGTGTTGCATGAAATTAAGGATCCTATACAAATTGATCTGCAAGCTGCCTTCTGAGCAGATATGCACAGGATTGCAATGTAGTTTGTCTTGATAAGAAAGGAAGACGTCTAGGTTTGGCTTCCGAGGTACCACTGTATGGAGTTTGTGGCTTCTCGTTTGAATCTGGATGCAAAAATTCGTCTTTCCTGGGCAGAAGCGAGAGCTGCTTTTTGAAAACAGCTTAGAAAAACACGGAACTAGCCTAATAGTGATTGGATAGCAGTACTGCCTCTATCCCAAACAAAAGTTAGCAGGAAAAAGCAACCTAACTCCTTTAGTTTGCATGTAGTTTTGCTTTAATAATTTCAAATCACAAGATGCCTGCTCGCAAACCGATGAAAGTTCATGGCTTCTGCATGCAATTAATCTGAACAGACAATTAGATCCTGAGAATTCTCCGCTATTTTTATTTATTTACCGCTGTTATTTCCTGCCCAGCTCCGAAGTTTTGATAAGTGCCTAAAGGGGCCCTGAAGTTCCACGTGCATACCATTGGATTTCAGCTCTACACTTTTCCTGCGTCTACGTTGGGAATGTGACCGCGCTCCAACGCATGCGTACACTGACTTGGTAAAGCTCCTTTTTCCACCACCCCCGGTAGTTGAGACCTCCCTGCCAGCAGAGGGAGCTGCCCGCCCTGACGCTCAATAGTTGAGCGAGCGCGGGAAGAGTTCGAGACCACAGCGCATGCGCACCAACCGGTTCTAGAGAAATGGCGGAGCCCCCTAGCGCTAAGCGAAAGCGTGAGGCGAAAGATGGAGAGAACGGGGACGCCGAGTCCCAAGGGGAAGGCCCCGGCGCTGGCACCTTCCCCTTGGCTGAAATCTCCGTGCGCAAAGTGCTTAGGGAGTCTGCGCGCGACAAGACCATCTTCCTTCACGGGCAGGTAGTAACGCTTGTTTCTGGAGCCGATGAGGGCCAATCAAATTCAAGGGGCGGGGCTTGAAGTAACGGCATTATTTTACCCCGCCTCTTTAGGAAGATCCCATTCTTTATCACCAGGGGACGCCGTGGGAAAGTGGGCTGTGCCAAAAAGGGAGAGGGAGGTTGAGAAAATTGACAATTTTCTAAGAGGATGCTGTGCTTCTTTTTATTTTATTGTATTTATCATATCCTGCCCTTACTTCCAAAGGAGCCCCCGGGTGCCAAATTTATACCCTTGCATAAAGTAGGTGACTTTTTTTTGTAAGTTAACATAAAGTTGGTTTTTTGTATGCATACAACGTTCCTGATCTCACAGAGATCTTCCTGAATAAAAATTATAATAGTGCCGTGCGGTTTATGAGATGTGACAGACATTCACACACGGCAATTATTTTTACAGTGCAGCCAGTGTGCTACAGTGAACTTGAAATGTGTGTATGTGTTTGATGCTGTTTGTGGTATTTTGGTATTATTATTATTTATTTCTAGACTGCCTTTCATCTGAAGATCACAGCACAGTTTACAATACAAAAACACAAAAATACATACCGTAATTACAAACAAAAACAACACCCCCATACACACACAGTTTTAAAAGGCCGTAAAGGTAAAGGGACCGCTGACCATTACGTCCAGTCATGGCCGACTCTGGGGTTGTGGTGCTCATCTCGCTTTATTGGCTGAGGTAGCCAGTGTACAGCTTCCGGGTCATGTGGCCAGCATGACTAAACTGTTTCTGGCGAACCAGAGCAGTGCACGGAAACGCCGTTTACCTTCCTGCCAGAGCGGTACCTATTTATCTACTTGCACTTTGACGTTCTTTTGAACTGCTAGGTTGGCAGGAGCTGGGACCGAGCAACGGAAGCTCACTCCGTCGCGGGGATTCGAACCGCCGACCTTCTGATCAGCAAGCCCTAGGCTCCGTGGTTTAACCCACATCGCCATTAGCCAAAGGCCCAGGAGAAGAGGAATGCTTTTGCCTGGCATGATTGTATAGTATTGTATTTTTTTATAGTAAACTGCCCTGGGGTATATTTGTATGGATGGAGAGTGGTACCTTGAAATATAACTAAATGCGTTCAGAATACATTGGTACCTGAGGTTATATACGCTTCAGGTTACATACGCTTCAGGTTACAGACTCCGCTAACCCAGAAATAGTACCTCGGGTTAAGGACTTTGCTTCAGGATGAGAACAGAAATTGTGCTCCAGCAGCGCAGCAGCAGCAGGAGGAGGCCCCATTAGCTAAAGTGGTGCTTCAGGTTAAGAACAGTTTCAGGTTAAGAACGGACTTCCAGAATGAATTAAGTTCTTAGCCCGAGGTACCACTGTACTGTATAAAATGTAAACTGTCGGACATAGATAATGGCATGTGCTGTCAACATTTTTGGGCCCATAGGCACATTTGTAAAGAGGATAAATTGCCAGAGACACACATAGGCTAAACATTTGACATTTTAAATTGCTTATTACCGTGGCAATACTGTGTTTTAGGTTTGTATGCCACCTTGTGATATTTCTTATATCAAAATAATAAATAATAAATGAAGGAAGTGTTTCAAAATAGAACTACACCAAAGTCCTAATCATCTAAAATGATAGCAGTTGTAAGGCAGTGATCATCTTTACCTCCTGTGGATAAGGGTTGTGGAAAATCCCAGTACCCTGGTTGTCCAGGCACCAAGAAATGTTATGTTTGTGCTTACAAATGTGAAATGCCGATTCAGTTGTTAGGCGCTGCTACTTACAAATCTGATGCTAGCGCATAAGAGCTCAAAGGTGTTTCAGAGGTATTCCACCCACCACCGCCACCCCTTGTTCCTTCATAAATAAAACTACTTTTCAATAAAACTTTACTTAGAGAGGCTATGGAGCTCTGAGACCCCGTATACTTTGTTTAGTAGCACTAACATAAGTGACAAAGTATAATTGAACACCACTGGTTTTTATGTGGTCATGCAGCAACACCGATTATGGTTATTGCCATCATGGGTAATAAGTTATAATTGGAATTGGTAGAATTATAGCTGTGGTTATTATAATATTAACTGTCTTTTATGGTGGGTGCTTATCTCTGCAATAATGAGTGGGTAATGACAGAAGGGAATCCTCATCTGCTGTGGTCAGGGCAGAGATGCAACGTTATCTTCTTCACTCTCTAAATTTTAACTGATTTCCAACCCATTTGCAAAAGCTGGGGAGCACACTTTATATAGGTCCCAGAATTTGGATGCAAAAATATTTTCTTTCTCACTTTTTACCATATTTATTATAAACATATTATAAACCATTTACATACGTGTTTGCAATGAAGTAGATGTGGAATACTGTACGTACTCTGGCTGCAACATCCAAAGAAAGGGGAAAGATCCTATTACAAGGACGCAAGAATAGCCTGGCCTACAAGCCTCTTTTCCCTAAACCTGCCTCATACCTGGCATAGGTGAAATAGATCGGGCTCAGGGTGGCTGACATCAGGTATAAAAACAGTTGATTGAAATAGAACTTAAAAACAAGATTAAAATACAACATTAAAATGCAGCCTCATTTCAATAGGAACTCAAATAAAGAACTTTTTTGGGGATTAAAATGTCAAGTCTTCACCAAGGCCAACTATCCAGACTGGTCCTGCATGGGCTAGAAAAAAGCCAGGGAAGTCCCCACATAGGAGTTCCATCACAGAAGGAGAAAGGAAAGAGGAAAGAGGGGGAGGGGATCAAGTTGATTCCAAGCCAAAGGCCAGGCGGAAGAACTCTGTCTTACAGGCCCTGCAGAAAGAAATCAGATCCGTCAGGGCCCTGGTCTCATGAGACAGAGCGTTCCACCAGGCTGGAGCCAGTCTTGAAAAGGCCCTGGCTCTAGTTGATAATAATAATAATAATAATAATAATAATAATAGTAGTAGTAATAATAATAGTAATAATAATAATTTATTATTTATACCCCGCCCATCTGGCTGGGTTTCCCCAGCCACTCTGGGCGGCTTCCAACTGAATATTAAAAACAGTACAGCATCAAACATTAAAAACTTCCCTAAAGAGTTGAGGCTAACCTGACTTCCTTAGGGCCCGGGACCACTAGGGTGTTGCTATTTATGGACCTTGAGGCTCTCCGTGGGGCATACTGGGAGAGGCGGTCCCGTAGGTACGAGGATCCTAAGCCGTTCAGGCTCATTTTGACAGGTGGGTAGCCTGCCATAGAGACAAGAAGGTTTCCTACTCCTGTTCTATGGGCACCAGAAAAGAGGAACTGTGATTGTCATAATATTGGAGAGGATCAAAAGGTTCCCTAGGGCTATCCATTCACTCACCAGCCTCCGTCCTCCCCAAATCCACCTGTTCTGTTCTGACCCTTAGCAGAGTTGCTGCGGAAGACAGAATAGACGTGCTACTATTTCAGAGCAAGTACTTCAGGGTGGCTCATGCAAATAAGCCAGGCTGCATGCAGAGGAAGGCCACCCACAAAGGCACTGGCCAGTCTGATCCTCATCTGGGTAGAGGATTCTCTTCTGATCCCACTAATGTGGTCCCTAATCAGTCCCTGTGAGAGGAAGCCCCATCCATTGAGTAAATCTCTTTGTGTGCTTCCTTTCGAGCATCTTTCCCCTGTTGTGGCCTTTGTTGAAATTCAGGAACTGGATCGGGTTCAGCAGCCTTCTAGGTTTGGCAGCCAGGAATAAATGAGAGGCTTAGAGGGCAATCTTATTATACTGTGCGGTGCAGGAGGGGGGACTGTGTGTGGAATGGGGCACAGGTTGCATTGTTCCACCTAACAAAAGCACTAGATACCCATCTCGAAGCTTAGATTATTTTTTTTCTTATTAGCATATCTATTGCTTTTAGCCTGGAGATCAGTTTTTCATGTTTAGTGTTTAAAGTGGAATTGAATTGCAAACTAGCAGTTAACTGAAATGCTGTAAATAAGATGGATGGAGTTGTCACTTAGGAGGCCATAAAAACGGGAAATTTGCAAGTACTCTTTTAATTCACCGTTTACAGCTGTACAGTGTTCGGGAGGCAGGTTCTTCCTTGCGGGCGGGGGCATACAGTTGGGTTAGTTCTTTTATTGTCCTCTGTAAATCCTCTTCCCAGATAGCCAAGGCACATGATGAAGTGTCAGGAAATTGCATGGCATCTCTATAATTTCCAAGTAGCATGTAAATTCTAGATGAATGGTTTTTCGAAAGGACTTGGAAAATGGATTAGTCTCTCTAGGTCAAATTCAGGGTGGGGAGGAGGAGCTGAAACTTTTCAAGGCGTGGAGGATCAATAAACCGGAGTTAGAAGGCGGCAGCAGCAGCAGCAGATAATGTGTTTCTGTTGGAACAGCTAAGGTCAGATTTAATAGATGTAAGTAGGACCTGCAATAAAGTGTTGCAGTCTATGTGTGTCCCACCAGGTTGCATCTATAGTATAGGAATTTGGAACCTATGATGCACGTCCACCCATCCTAACCAGCCCCTGCCTTCTAGAAGCTTACTTTAAGCTGCTGGGAAAGGATGAGGAGCCTGTTGCTCTTCAGATGTTATTGGGCGCCCACCATCCCTGACGATGGGAATTGGATTCCACAACAATGAGAAGGCTGCCCCTGGTGTAGACAGTTCTAAACTAGATGGACCAATGGTCTGACTCTGTAGAAGGCAGCTTCCTACAGTCCTGTGGATCCCAGGCATCTTCGTTGCACTTCCTCTTGTAAAGATTGGGATGACCCACTTGACTGCCTGCTTCACACAATCAGATCCTGACTTAGTAAGTTATGCTCCACGTTGCTTGCTTCCCCCATTGTTCCCTCCCTTGGCTTCTGGATCCTGGTGTGCTTGGAAGCCGTGAATCATAGTAATGGGAAGCTGTGGTGAAATGCAACTTCCTGGGTCCAGTTCCACGAAGCTCATGCTTATTAAGCCAGAAGTTGATTGTGCAAACTTGACTAATATGTGTGAAATGTCATTAATCAGTTCCATTCATCCACTATATCCCATTCTCTCTCTCTCTCTCTCTCTCTCTCTCTCTCTCTCTCACACACACACACACACACACACACACACACACCTCCTAATGTGAAGCAATGGCACTGTTTCCTTTCCATCCCCATTTGCTGCCTGGCAACAACCCACATTCAGGCTGTGTTTGTAGCCATCAGCCCCTCATGATAAAGTAGTGTCTTGTAGTATGGATGCGAGTTTACTCAGAAAGTTGGTGGGACTAAGCATGCCCCTTTGTACTGCAGTTCTGCCCGGCTGGATGAGCACAAACACCATTTTTCAGTTTCCGGAGCCTTCTCCTACTCTTCATGTCGACGTCATCTTGTGACAGCAGAACTAGTTGTAAGGAAAGGTCCCGATTTCCTCTTGGCTCTTTCTAATGATTCTGGATATGGCACACCCTGAACTAGATGTAGCGGTGGCTTTTTAAAAAATGATGACATTCATTCACAGAGAATGGGTTCATCAGTGGTTGGTTATTTGTCATGATGCTTAAGAGCCAGGTGGTGTAGCTGATAGAGTAGTTAGACTAGGACCAAGGAGGCCTCGGTTCACACCCCTACTTAGCCATGAAATTCTCTGAACTCCTTAGAGAAGAGTGACACAGAAAATTGAATGACTGATAGCTGAATAGGACCTCCAGTGGTCAAAGGCACCATCCCATGAATTACCACTTGCCGGGTTAAAATAGGGAATGACATTGGTGCCTTGAGCTTCCAAGTTCATCTGACCAGCAATGGTTGGAAACAGAGTGGTGTCCAAATCAGATGTAAGTCAAAAAGTGGAGTAAGAATGGAAAGTGAAGCTACTTTGGTAAGGCTACTGACTTGCCCTTATTACTCCTTGGCCTCACTTCTTTGGCCACATAGGTTAGGAGTTGCCTTATACTCAGATCAGTATCATGCACTGTATTGTCCTCACTGTTCAACAGTAGCTCTCCAGAATTTCAAACAAGCGTCTTTCCCTGCCCTACCTAGAGATGCTGGGGATTGAACCCGGGACCTTCTGTGTGAAAAACAAATGCACTATCATTGAGCTACGGCCCTTCCCTTCATTGACTATACTACCTGGGCTGATGGGAATTGGGATTCCAATGACACCTGGATGGCCGCAGGTTCCCTTACTGCGCTAGATGGACCTCGGTTCAAGCCAGTAAGCCAACTCTTATTGTTCTTATTTCTCTAGGTGAACAGCGCTTCTGGTGACGGGACAGATGCTGTGGTGATTCTGGAGAAGACACCCTTCCAGGAGGAGAACATAGCTGAACTCCTGAAGAAACACACCAAGCTCCAGCTCCAGATGTCCAACGACATCTACAGCACTTACCACCTTTACCTGCCTCCTGAGCTGAACGGTAAGCGGCTGGCTGGGGAGGCTTGCCTCCCAGACATCCGTCAGTTTATGCAGGCTGATTGCAGTGAGGTTCCTCCAGGTCTTAACCAAAAATACAGTTTGCCATCCCTGCTATCAGTGGGTTATCTGGGATAGGTTAGGTCCTGCTTCTGTTATGCTGAATTTAGCCAATGGTTTTCTTACCCTGAAAGCTGGAATTCTTCTATGGGCTGGCCCCAGGTTTGAGGGTACACTTGGCAAACTGTCCTCAATCCCCCCCCCCAAAACCCCTGGGTGTACTGTATAGTGGGTAGCGACAAGCCAGCACTTAAAATTTTGCACAATGCTTCAGTGTCCAACACAAGCACTGATCAAGAGCATTATGGGGAAATATAAAAGGGCAGCTCACAGACTTAGTCACATAATGCAGTGGTTCCAAGGCAGTCCTGGAGTACTGGGACCCTGGCAGGTGTCCAAAGGTGCCTGCTGTTTCTGCAGTGAAATACAGGAACGGTTCATGTTCTCATATATTCTGGTAGAAGCCAAGATATAGGAGCATGTTACGGGTGTAGTGTAGAGGGCAAGTGTGAGCTGGTTATTCCCTGGTTCAGATTTGCCGTTATGGCATAGTTGTGTTAGAACTGTGCCACTTCAGAATGCAAGTGCAGGATCGCCTTTTGATTTAAACCCATATGAAAAAAATGGAATGTCAAGAGGAAGGACTAGGCTAAGAACTTGTTTACTGATATGCTAGTTTCCATAAGCATGGATCCTCCCCACCATCATGGAGAAAGCCTTTAGATATGCACCCTTTCCCTCCCGGTGTCTTCAACTGATATAGGCCCAGCAGGGGGTCGCATTGCATACTTTCCCCAAGGATTTAAATCATTTATTGGACATAAGACTCATCCAGAACACTGCCTCCTGTGCTTGAGGGAAGCATGTAGGAAAGCATCAAGGCAGTCACCAATGAGAAACAAGTGTTCAGTTATGAGATATATCTGTTGTTAACATATTGGATTGGGGGATGTTCCCTGACTCTACAGTTTTAGCAATTCTGACTTGTCTCATTTGGGGGAAAGGAAAGCACTTGCTTTAGTTTAGCTTCCCATATAATTCTGTTTGTTATCAATCATTAGTCCAGGCGGGAATCAGAATTTAAACCTTGGCTTGACATTGATAAAGTTCTCAACCCCTATTCTACCGGGTGTTTGTGGTATTATTACAACAGGCACATCTTTTTGTGCTGTTCAGAAGACCTCTGTGCAGGCCAATGGAATAGACAGGCATCGTGTTTGCAACTGTGAGCGCTTTTCTCCCTTTTGGTGACTTCTAACAAGATGCTGCAATTTCCACAAGGTGGCACCCTTGGACAAGAATCCAAGAACCATTCTAAGCAGCAACTGTTACTGAATGACAGGAAGGATGACCTGTTGCTGGTTCAGTTCCCCCCACCCACCGTTATTTGATTTCTGTAACATTTATTTATTCATCTTTTATTTAGATATGCCACCCAATAACACAAGTTCTCTGGGCAGCTTACAATAAAATACAGTGGTACAGTGGTACCTCAGGTTACAGACGCTTCAGGTTACAGACGTTTCAGATTACAGACTCCGCTAACGCACAAATAGTATCTCGGGTTAAGAACTTTGCTTCAGGATGAGAACAGAAATCGTGCAGTGACGGCACGGCGGTAGCGGGAGGCCCCATTAGCTAAAGTGGTGCTTCAGGTTAAGATCAGTTTCAGGTTAAGAACGGACCTCCAGAAAGAATTAAGTTCTTAACCTGAGGTACCACTGTACCTTGGTTCTCAAACGGCTTGGCTCCCAAACGGCTTGGCTCCGAAACGCCACAAACCCGGAAGTAAGTGTTTTGGTTTGCGAATGCTTTTTGGAAGTCAACGCGGCCTCCGTTTGACTGCAGGAAGCTCCTGCAGCCAATTGGAAGCTGCACCTTGATTTTTGAAATGTTTCGGGAATCGAACGGACTCTCGGAACAGATACAGTTCGATAACCAAGGTACCGCTGTACAAACAATTAACATACCAAAGAAAAACAACAAAATCTGAATACATGAGCAGCTTGAGGGTAAAGCAACGGTGCAACTGCCCAGAAGGCCTGCAGGTGCATGCTAGTCAACTAAGTCGGCATTTCCAAGGATGCTCCCTTGGGATCAAGCCCCATTAACCTCTCTGAGATCCATTTCATAACAGACAGGTGTGCTCTGGATTTAATCTGAAAAGGGCAAGGTGCCCAGGGTATATAATGTCAATTGTTGTTTTGTGGATTTACTGTGCCCTGTGATATTAAGGAGTCTACGCACAGGAGCCAAAAAGTATCTTCCACAGATAAAACTGCTTTTCTCCATGTCCATGAGATCTGAAACAATGGAATTCAGCCTGGCTTCAAGAATAGAGACAAACTGATTTCTGATCTTGATTTGGGAATGAGATGGGCCTGTATAATGATAACTCCTCTGGGTCTTAACCAGGTTTTAAGATGACCACTGTTTTAGATTCGAGTCAGGCTGATGTCCAGGTTTATGTGAACAAAGTATGACAGGACAGTGCTACAAAAAAGGCCTTTCCCTTGGTGATACTGCAGTTACAGAATACGGTGGGGTCAGGGGACTGGATTCAGCTGGTGGGCCAAATCCCTCAGTTCTCCACCCTCTGCTGATTGGTGGTGGGAATGCCCATTCTAAGTGCCTTGCTCCATTAGCATGAAGCGGTCTGCATTGACACTTGGGTACATAGTGCTAGAAGTTTGAAAGCCGAGTGTTATTTGCAATTCTAGTCCAGTGCAGAGTAAGTCTATTGAAATGAATGGCTTTGACTATCCTAGGTTCATTAATTTCTCTGAGTGGAACTTAGTTGGATACAACCCAAGATGGCTCTTCTACATCCAGCTTAAAGTAGAGCATCAACCATGGGATTCTGCTAAATTGACTCGGGCTCAAATCCACATTCATATAAAGCTTAATGGGTAACCCTGGAGCAAACCTGTATTTTAGCTCAACCCACCTCATAGGGTCCTGCCAACCTAGCAGTTCAAAAGCATGTAAAAGTGCAAGTAGCTACATAGGTACCGCTCTGACGGGAAGGTAAATGGCATTTCCGTGTGCTGCTCTGGTTCGCCAGAAGCGGCTTAGTCATGCTGGCCACATGACCCGGAAGCTGTACGCAGGCTCCCTCAGCCAATAAAGCGAGATGAGCACCGCAGCCCCAGAGTCAGCCACGACTGGATCTAATGGTCAGGGGTCCCTTTACCTTTACCTTACCTCATAGGGTTGGTGAGAGAATAAAATGGGAGGAAAACTATGTCCTTTGCCCAGAGCTCCTTGGAGGAAAAGCAGGATATTACACACACATACACATACTGAAGCAAGACTAGGAACATAGATCTACTACTGGAGGAATGGGATAGATGGTAGTATTTCTGGATGCTGCCATGCTCAGCCTGGTTTGGGAAGCAAAACTGCACCAGTTCAGGTATGCCGTACTGATTATGGAACCTTGTCTAGGCCTGAACCAGGAGAAGAACTTTGTTGCTGCTGAGCCAGCCAGAACAAAAAAAAGTACGATGCAATGGTTTGGCCTCTTAGCTGGCTTCTTACAATGCAATGGTTTGCCTTTGGTCGGTAGGCCGAAAGCGAAAGTGTGCCTGTCCAAGCTGCCAAGCCCACAGGAGATTTGAAGCAGAACACTTTTCTCCTTTTGATGGCATTGAAGAGTTGCAAGTTCTAGCAGCCTTCTGCCCCTCCCACCTTCCTGCTTGTTCGCCAGCATCCCTCAGAGGCATGTGTGAAACACTTACTTTATTATCTAGTTAATGCTCCTTTCAAGGCGTGTCTCCTCTGAGCTTACATAACCTAACGGGTATAATGAAGCCATTATAAGGCTATAAAGCACGGCTTTAATTTTTTTTAATAGCTTTAGCAGGTGTGTTGTTGTTTTTCAGTTGCCTGTGATGCCCCCTTGGTGCTGTTGCTGTCGCTAGACCAAACTTAACTGGGCGAGCTGGAAGAGCCATTATGCTCTCTGGCTCTGTTTTAAAAGGGGATACCATTTCTTCTCCTCCTAGGTTAGAACTGATGTCTACCTCTTTTTTGTGTATGTGAGAGAGCTAGTAAGATCCTGTGAGTGCAAGTCAAGACCTGGGTTCAAGGCCCTTATGAAAAACAAGAGAAGAGCTTTCTGGATCAAGCCAACGCTAGCCCAGCATCCTGTTCTCACAGTGGCCAGCCATCTGCCTATGGCAAGGCTGCAAGCAGGATCTGATTGCTGCAGGACTCGCCCCAGCAAAAGCCTTGTCCTCTATTAAGTTTGTCTAATCCTCTTTTAAAGCCATCCAAGTTGGCAGCCATCACCGCCTCTTGTGGGAGCCTCCTCTCCCCATGATTTAGAATTCTGCTCCCAAGTTGGAGACCTGGCTTCAGAGCCTTTCTCTGCCATGCATAGCCTTGGATAGGGCAGCTGGTGCCTCCCAGAAATGGTGGCTTCTGTGGAATAGCAGTTGTAGTTTAATGGTGAATTTTGGATATAAGGGAGATGTAACATATTTGGATTATTGTAAAAGATGCAGGAGGAAATGATTAATAATAGGACCCACAAAGGGGAGGAGGGATGTCCAGGAGGTTCTTTGGAATCTTGTCATTATGTTGTATGTTAGATAAAATTCTAATTTGAAAAACCTGTATCTCTATCTTATCTATCTATCTATCTATCTATCTATCTATCTATCTATCTATCTAAGGGTGTGTGTGTGGGTGTTTAAATGGTGGCTCTTGAGGCTCCTCACTTACATTGTGTTCCCATGCACACACACACACAGTGGATTGTCATAACTTCCATTTACTGTGGTTCTACAGTTCTGGGGAGTGTGTCCCTATCAGAATCAGACGGACAAGACATTTTGGGTGGCTGTTTCTCACCCAAATGATGACAACGACGATCACTTCTGCCCTTCCCCAGAAAGTCCCAAGGCAGATTATAGCAAGGCACAGAATTAAAACAAATTA